TCGCTGCGAAGGAGTAGAACGCGAACTGCTGGAGGACGGATATTAGCACAGCAGGGAAATACTGTACGAGGTGCCTCGGTAGAGGCAGCGTGGCAACCATAACTGGCAAGAATACGCCCCTGTATACTGTCCATTAGTGTCGTACACTCTGGGAGAAAATAGCTACAGACTTGCCTGAGGAGGGTGAACGCAACCGTCAAAAGCACAGCCAGCACCTTTTGCGACCAGTGATCCGCCTTTATGTATGCCTTTGCTAGGCAATAGCAAAAAGCTGCCACCCACAAAAATGACTCAAGGAAGGCTGCGAGAACGATAGGTCCAATAAGCGCGAGAGAAATGATCTATGCCATCAGCAGAAGACCATGCTGCGTGACACGACGTACTCACATCAGGTATAGCCCAGGGGCTACTAAGAGATTCGCGCTCAGCCATGTCGCTCGCACTGGTGATACACCGTCCGCAATAGATGGACAGTGTAAGAGGCTTTGCTTGGTGTTCTGCTGTTGCACGGACGGACGGCGAGTATTTGTCGACTAGGAGCAGTTAGTTGTCGAGGAGTGGAGGATGTGAGCAGCACGCCGGGATATCGAGGCTGTCAAAGCTTTCAAGGTCTCAAGTGATGGAAGCGCGTGTCGAGGCAAGTGAGTGATAGAAATTATGGGGGTCGGAGTGTGCGCTGACAACTTCGAAAGCAACCTGGGAGTGTCTAAAAGGAGTCGCTTAACTCGAGCACGGCGAGAAAGGTGTTGGACCCAGAATCAGTGAATGATAGTCATTTCATGAAGATACTGAAATGGTGTAGTGGAGGCCGGCGCCAGAAAGTGCTATGAGTCGGGGGTGTTGGATCAAGACGGAGCAGTGAGAGGGCAGGCCAGAAGTTGAATGACAATGTGGAAACAAGGCCAAAGAAAGAAATGGGGAAAAGGCAGTTGCGTCCGAGGTGCCAGCTGCCTCTCATTTTGTCTGGCATGGTGGTGATTTCCAGGTTGATCCTGTCGGTGAGGGACAGATGCCCAAACCAAGTCTGGGAGAAGAGGTAGGATATGCATGAGGGCTGCTTGCAGCTCCTGGCCCACAAAAGAGGCAGAGATATTTTTGCAGTCTGAAACTGAAGGAAGATTGAGCTGAGATGAAGCGAGGCGAAGAGAAAAGAGAGAACGTACTATGAGCGATGTTAAGAGTAAAGTCCAAGTTCGCAGATGCAATGCATAATTCATCTCTTTAGCAGCGTTTCACCACAAATGGATCCGTTATATCTGCATTCGATATCCATACTCCAGAGCCTTGTGTTTCAACCAGATCCAAACTACGGCTCCGCGATGTACGTATATTTACAAATGGAAGTCCCCACTAACGGTGCTGTCGACATCGGTCCAAGCACTTGAAGGAGTACGTATAGCATCTGCAAAGTCGCTGAGGATATCGTCGGAACTCTCCTCCGCTTCGCTAGCGTGAATGCTGCTTGCGCCGCCAGCAATGCTGGGTGTCAACGAAGCCGGTGGTGTTGCATCGAGGGGGAATCGATTGGCAATAACATTTTGAGGCACGTCTAGATATGTGCTCTGGACAGGAAGCGATGCTTGCGACTCGTGGTCGGAGAGAGTGTGCGTCGAACCCGAACCCGCCGCAGAAAAATACTCTGACCGTTCTAACGGGCGGTTGAAATACTCGGCAGATGGAATGGAGAAGTCTGGATCGGGGACACCTTCTGTCGTGGGGGTAAGCTCAATCAGGCTCTCTGAAGCGTGGCTGGACAGGATTTCGATGGGTCTGCCGGACAAAGGTAAATTCCATGCTTCGCGCATTTCCCGCTCGTATCTTGACTCGAATTGGTTTGTTTGGCTCTCGTTGAACTGCCTCACAGAACAAGGTGCGTCCATCGACTGAGGTGGAAAGGAAGGGGGCTGTTCTTGGTGTGGAGGGAATGGCCTCTGCCGCAGAGTCGCGGCTTGCGCCAATGGGTCGGCTCCGGACGAGTGCGCTGCTGGAATTGACTGCTCATCTTGTGCGGGTTGTAACAAAATCCCGTCTTTGTCCACTAGGGTATCGAAGGTCGGGGTTGACGGTATTTCTTTCTCTTGCTCAGCGAGCCTTTTTCTCTTCCTTCGCTCCTCCATGATCCGTCCACGCTCCATGATCTCGGCGATTGCTTGACGTCGTCGCTCTTCAGCCAACTCACCCTTCTCCTCATGCATGGAGACATCTGTCGATGTGCGTCGTGGACGGGGTCTGGGGCCAATTTCGTCGCCGAGGGAGTACAAGCCCATAGCAATCCTGTGCCTTGTACGGTCTATCCATGCTCGTACTTGAGGATTTTCATATGCGGCTATACTGGCTGCCACCAGGACGGTGACAGTGATAATGATTCCTACCGAAGGCATGGTGAGTTAGTGTATTGATTGAAAGCGACGGTAGGAACAGCCTCGGGGAGACGTCTCATTTTCAGAACCTCAAGGGCATGGGATGAGCACGGACTGATGATGTAAGGGGAGAATGGCGGCATGCGAGGAGGCACGGGGGAACTCACCTCTCGCGAGCGGAGCTGGCATTTTGAAAATAACCCTGGTGGTATCTGTCTGAGTGAAAGTCTTACGATGGGAGAGAGGTGAAGGTCGCAGGCGGGAGAACACCGTGGTTGAAGACAACCCACGGAGTCCTGAAACCTGTCAGCCTGATGATGGTACCATCAAGGATCATACGAGGCCAGCAGAGAAGGCGGCAAAGCAGTTCGGAGCGGGAGAGGGAAGAGGGACGAAGGAAGAGGGCAGACTAGCGCTGCGCCACACACGCCATTTTTTGAAGGGGCAGAAGAGGAAGACCACTGCGGTGCACGAGGTACATTACCACAGTTGAGCCCCGCACCCACAGTTAGATGGCCGTTGACCAGCCTCGGCGCGCCTACTCGGTACAAGCACACGCGTTGGCGCACCCGCGACACAAATTGATTTTCCACACTGCGCGAGTGCGTGCTACTTGCTCAATACAAGCATGCAAACCACGCCTCAGAGTCAACCATACCAGGATGTCTCGTCCCGCTTCCACCACACAAGCCAGAGCCTTGACTCTGACCGAAGAGCTTGAGAAACTCGAGCAGTCCATTACATTGACATTGCAAGGTTGGCCCAACAAATGCCTGTTTCAGGCACGAATATCCATTGACCCCAGTTGCCCTACAGAAATCGACCACAATTTCAGTCGAGCACACCGGATAGTGACGTCAAGCATCCTGCCGATTGTCGAACAATATGCTGCGCATTCCAAGGAAGTCTGGGAAGGGTCAAGAGTGAGATACCTGGGCAAACTCATAGAGGCAATACTGACACAGCGCACAGTTCTGGAAGCAATTCTTTGAATCGAGTGCCAATGTGTCCCTGTCAGGCTACGAGGAACAGCAATCTCAACTGGAAAATGCGGACACTACAGTTACCGAAGACACCAACACCACAACGCATACAACGCTAGAGACTTCAGAGTCCTACGAAACCCCTTCCGCCCAGCACATCTCAACAGACTCAATACAGGACCTGGACCTTTCGAATATGACCATCTCCCCCTCTAAGAGCAGCACTCCACGGCCCAATATCACACAAAAGCTTCAGACACAAAATAATCCCACCTTTGCGGACTATCCATCACCGTACGAGGCACTGCAACATGAAGTCCACAATACGGTTGTTGATACCACGTCAGTCACCCAATCGGCCATGCCCCAAACCCCCGGCGGCCGACCAGGATTCCCCATGGACAACATTGCCGTAGGGACACCACAATCCTCCCCTTTTCTGCCGCCTCCACCGACCTCCATTTCACGCCCATCTACCGCCCGCAAAAGGACGGATCCCCTTCTCCACCGAATGCTAGACAGAAACTACCGAGTCCAGGCCACACCACTCACAAGTCAGCCTTATGTACACCTCCCATCGATAGCTCGCGCTCCCCCATCTACCGCAAAACGTGTTAAGTCTGCAATACTCGACGACTCAACTCTATCATCGAGTCCAGAAGCACCTCCCCCCGAGCTCCACCCAGAGATCTTCTCCTCTCCTGAACGCAGGAGGCCGGTGCCGGGTATCAGCGTTCTAACACCGTCACGAGCACGATTAAAAACCCAGCCATTGAAGGCACCGGCCCGGACGCCGGGGATTTGGGACAGCGATGACGACGATCTTGATGCCGATGTGCTCTTCGACCAATCCCCGCCGAAGACCATGCAATTCCACGTCCCCCAGAGTCGCTTGCTAAAAACTCCAGCGAAGGAGGCGTCGAAGCGGATAGTCGAGGACATTCTTACTAATGCCGGAATTGATTACGGGGAGGAGGAACTTGATTTTACTCAAGAATTGGAAACCCAGGGATTTGGACTGGATGCCAGTGGGGAGCCGACCAGTCCAAGCGTAGTCCGCAAAGCGATGAATGTCGAAGACGAAACGTTCTGAATTGGCAGCGGGAAAGATGCAGCTACCGACCGAAAGCGCCACATTGATATTCCGTCACCCTGGAGGGGTTTGAGCCACCCCATCGATCCAGAGATATGTCCGCCCATTTAGTCACCGCTATCACGACTAGGTGGGCAGGATGGGATTAGCAAGATCATGGATTTTATTGCGACTGACTCAGTCTTCATTCTTCGTTCTTCATTCATTATTCCTCATTATCTGATTAATCATTAGGCAATACAGCGGCGCTGTGCGGCGCTGTGATGCATGGTGGGTGTGAAAATTGAAGGATACTGCCTCGGACCTGAAAAAGGGAAGGTTTGATAAGACCATTTTGCGTCCCAGGTTGCTCCATTCCGTCTCTGCTGATACCATTATTAGTGCCAAAATGACGGAATTCACAAAGTCCACGTCAGAGCCACGACGACGCCCCAGGCTAGAACGAGGGACTTTGCGAGACCTGTATCTTTAACTGACATGCTGCCTCCTGTGTAAGGCGCGATAGGTGGTGTGAGGACCTAGAAAATAGCGCGACCGTGAACGGCGCCGTTAGCCAAGGATTTCTCAGCGCGTCGCAGGCCAACGTCCGAGAAGGTTCAACGTCGACAATGGGGATAAGTGTGAACCTACCGCGTCAATTACGTGAGCAACTCCGTTTTCAAGGATCAGGTTCGAGGAGACAATCTTTGCGTTGTTGATGAAGTAATCATCACCCTGGATAGTCACGGTGATAGTTGCGCCAGATTGCGTAACATAACTGCTGCCATCGGCTAGGCTAGGAAGGTAGCCTGCAAAGTCCTGCACAACATGTCCTGCTAGGATGGACGAGATACCGCTGGACGAGGGGGATATGTTTGCGGCGGCGAAGGCTTCGTTGGTGGGGATGAAGACGGTGATGAGAGGAGTTGTGTCCAGGATCGACGACTGGTTCGAGGCACTGGCGAGGGAGACGAAGGACGTTTGGCCAGTGGTCCGGGCGGTCGAGGACAAATTGAGGGGCAGGGTAAAAAGGCTTTACATGTCAGAAGTTAGCACTTGGGTGGTTGTGAACCCATTCAAACACTCGAATACACAGCATGGTTAAGACGTGGGATCGAAGGTTTTCCTTACCCATCGGTCGTATGGATCAGACCGCCATCGAAAGGAATGTCAGCAGTGATGACACCGACCGAATCACCTAGGCCTGAATAGATATCCACCAGAGTGTCCACGGTACTGGAGTTGTCCTGTCTCGGGAGGATGAATGGAGCCCATCGTTTGCTGGATGTTGTCTTGGTATTGTTCTTCGGCTTTGAGACGACTTTCTGGGTCGAGCCTTTCAGATTTGCTTTGGTGTCTTTGGTTGGGACCACAGCACCCGGAGGGGTGCGTAGGCCGTTGATCTCACTTTGACTCTGAGTGGCATGAAGAAGCAGTTGCTGCTGCTGAGCCGGGGTGAGAGTGGCGCGCTTTCTGAACCGTGTTATGTTAACTGTGCTATCAATGAACTGGTCCGTTGGAGCGAAGACAGCTGGTACATTAGCAGCGAAGGCAGCGGAGACGACAGGGTCGGATGCAATCAGAGCCGCAAACTTGGCCGCACCTGCCGCTATAAGGGCATCGTTCAAAGACGGAAGACTCGGAGAAGGCGAAGGAGAAGGCCAGGCAACGGAGGACCAAGATTTGCTCGTTGGCCACGACAGCCAGGTGGCAGTCTCCGAAGGCCAGGAGTGTGGAGAGTAGATGGTTGTCTGCCATGAGGACCACGCGGAAGTCTCTGAAGACCAGGTGTGTGAGGGATAACTGATTGGGGACCAGGAGCTAGAGTCTTCAGGCCAAGTAGGGATTGAGACAGAAGGTGTGTATGCAGCAACGGACGTCCAAGCTTCCGAAGTATAAACGGTTGGTGTCCACGTGGGAGTTTCGGCTGACCAAGAGGGCTGAGTATAGTGGATGGAAGACGGCGACCAAGCCCAGGACCAGGATGGCTGAGTCTCAGATGGCTGGAAATGCTGAGTAGCGACTGGGCCAATTGCCAGGGCAGATAACACGATGATGTAGTGGAACGACATGATCAGGCTGAGGGTGGCCGGTGACAGGTGACAGGTGGGGAGAGACTGTGTGAGCGAATGTGCGCGATATCGAGCCTACTCTGGTACTCGTTCTTCTTCCCAACAGCGTCGCCTCAAGCGAGCGTATATCCGGCAGAGCCTCAAGTCTTCAACCTCAACGAGGGAAAAGGGCGCGACTCACCTATATGTATATAAGCGCTCTCGAAGTCGAGCCAGAGCGGACGAAGCTTGCTTCAAAAGTCCGTCTTGCGTCGCTAACTCGGACTTGGGATCGTCGATGAAGTTCGGGCGGAGACCAAGTTTCTCTCTTCCATATCGAGGAATGTCTCTGTTTTCCTTCGCCAGACGCCCCTCTGCAGAGCTGCAACGCTGCAACGGCGCAGATGGTGCCATCTGCGAGGGGAATGGAGCAGTGCGGTGTGGTGCTGGACACGCAGCGGTAGCGCAGTACAGTACCGTACCTGATTAGTGAGGGCAAGGGTACCCGGCGAACTCGGCAATAGTTGCAGATTCAGGGTCGAGGTGAGGCTCGAAAAACTGCTCAAAACAGTCGCCTGCAGGGGCATTCCACATTGCTTGGCTGGGCGTGGTCCGCACCGTTGCCCAGTCTCGTACCGGTGGCCGCGAGTTAGGAAGGGGCCCTGTAGTTTTAGTCCTTCATTTGACGTAAATAGGAACGGCCATCGGGGTGTCTGCTGCAGCCAGGGCTAGTGAGGCTGCTGCGATTGCTTTGTCAGGAGGGCTGCTACCAGACTGGCACCGAACTGGTAGGTTGATGGGGACCCCGAAATCCGGGGTCATCGTCGTTGAAAGCTTCCAAACAAACGGAAGTGCCCGAGTCGCCGACTTCTTGTTCACGGCATGTTCGACGGGGCCAATAGGAAATACACGAAGATCCACCCATACTCGTCTATCACATCGTCATTGGCCAGTGGATCCACGGCACAAGGCATCTCTCCGCCAATTACACAAGCGAGCTCGCCATGCCGATGGGTCCGCCATGAGCCTGGAACCGTCGACGTCCCTTTCCTCGTCCCCATCCCTCCCTTCTCCCAAAATGTCCACGATGGTGGCCTGCAAAGACACGCTGGCAGACCACCACATCCACCCTATTGACATGCTCCGGTCCAACTAAGTTTGCGCCCTCTCGAACTGCGACCGTTGGCCGTCGATCTTTAGTCGACTGGTTCCTTTGTACTAGTTGGAACCCTCGCAACACGAACAGACATCGGGCACACACAACCACCATCATGTCGAACCATTGTCGCGGCGAAGCTTCGATCGCTGATGATTTGTCCGAATGGACAGACGAGTCACCCAACTACATGTGCATCTGCTAGAGCCTAGAGGAACCGCTGGGGCTTTAGGGAATCCATCTCCCTTCAAGACCCCAAAAATGCATCGCTCGCTCCATTTTGAGTAAAGGCTTCTGCTGACCCGTGCAGGTGGCCATTAGAGTAGGTACAGTAGCAGCCTCAATTGCAGCCGCAAGTCCCGGCTTGGATCCATTTAGACACCAGTGAAGACAAAACCTAAGAACCCTTCTCCGTCGTCGCAAAAAAGATCCTATACATGGGAATAGCTAATACCTTACCAGCCTTGCACGCTCGGTTTGAGACTCATCGTCTTCGTCAGCAGCCATAACCTCTCGACTGCAGAAGGACTAGCTGAAGCAGCCATGGTTTTCTCAAGTCTCAATCCCGGGCGGCAGACCTATCACTTGTGGCGTCGTTTCTCTATGCCCACGGACCACGGGCCCAGAGACGCCATTTCGGTTCCTGCTAATGTCGCCAACCAACTCAATTCTGCATACACCTTCATGGTGCAGTTGATAATAATCGACTTCTGGGTCATTCTCATCCTTTTTGGCGTCGTCCTCTTCTTGGGGAAGGAGAAACATAGCCATAACAGTGGGGTGATTGCCACGGGCATTTGGAACGCGAAGGACTCTCCGAGCGTCATCTGCAAACTTACCGGCTCCTATTTCTTCAAGATCAAAGACCGACGACGGGTGCATTTGTTTTGGTGGACGTTGCTAGCAGCCGGCTTTGTGGTCGCTATTTATGCCATCCCCATCAAAGTCGCCCCATACATCATCATCGACAATGCCGCTCCAGTTTCAGCCGCTGCCATCTACGTTCCAGCCCTGAGTAACACTTTCAACGAGAAGAACCAAGTGCAGATCAATGCGCTCGAGGCGCCGTCGGCATTCCGCGCATCGGGGAGCGTCCTGGTAGCGAACTCCACCGGCCACACCCACGTTTCAATCGATCCGCCTGAGACGATACAAGACCTCGGTGACGGCGAGGCCATCGTACGCGTGGGGTATCACTACAACATCACGGGCGTGGACTTTGGCTTGCAACACTATCCTGACCTCGTCCTGAGCGTCGAAGGCTCATGCCAGACCGACTATTCCTGGCTCCTTGCCGAATCTACAGACGACTCCAACATCATCCGTGACGAATACTTGCTTTTCAATGACCCCAGCCAAGGGACACAAAACGTTTCGTTCTACGACAGCGCCAGGCCCCTTGGGTATTTCTTCCAGGGCCTGCCGTCTCCCACGGGACCAGCAGGAAACTGGACCTGGGGTGCATTGGTCTCCTCTGTGCAGCGAGAGAGCATCACGGCCGGCACAGACCCCTGGTATCTAACTGTCCCCGATGGTGGCAACGATGTAGGCTTCGTCGTCAAAGGGGGACGACCGGCACTTTCATGCTGGCAGAACGACGTCTGGTCGTACCGAGGTCACCAGAGTACCGCTATCGCCCTTGATTCGACCTCCGTTCCCGGTCTGGAACTCTCGACGGGGCTGCAAAATGTCTTGGCCCGCTTTCTGTCGCTGCCGAAGATTGTGACTTTAGCTACTCGCTTGGGCGCCTCCGCACTCGCGTCCACCGACACCTCACTAGGCGAAAAGTTTGACGCTGGCTCGTCCAGTTTCCGCGGCGATCTAGAGCGCCTGGTGTTCGCCTCATATATCGCGACCATGAACACGCTCACAGACACCACCCTATTCTCCACCAACAACTACGGCATACCGAACCTAGTTAGCGAATCCGACGGTAAGACAAGCCCTGGAGTCGACGAGTTCGTAATTTGGAGCAGCAACGTGTCAACGCTGTCGATCCTTGCCCTCATCATCGTCCCTGTCATGACAGTAGCCATGAAGGTGATCGTCTGGGCTCTCACAGACCTGCCCTTCTCCTGGTACCGCATCCAGGCCCTGCAAGCGACGGTGCTGTACAGTTGCCTGCACGAGAAGGCCACGGGGATCAACGACGTTGAATGCAACCGCCGCGACGATCGACCTTGGGTCAAGAAAGGAGACCTCGAGCAGGGCGTGTTCAGGCCACGGTTCGACAGAGGGAGTAGAACCCTCAGTTGGGGCGGAGCAGAGTACGTGAATTTTATGAACCCCCTTTTGGTTTCGACATGCATACGTACATACACGAACGAACCTTTGGAATCAAGTGACTGATCTCCGCAGACACAGGGAAGTGACCGTCGGAATCGGGCCAACACCGCTGTCCCCGCGCGGCACGATGCACAACCTCGAGGTCTCCAGGACCAACGGTACGAACGGGTATTTCGGACTACAGCCTCAGAGCGGAGCAGCGACCGAAAAGCCAGGGACCGGCATGCAGACGCAGATCGCCAGCGTCGTCACGCCGTCTGCCCCTGATCAGCCGCTCCTGCCTCCAGGCGGCCCCCGCTAGCTAGATCCTCCCCTTTTTTTTTTGGCACATACCCAAGAAAAATAGCAAAGGTTTCTCCCATGCAGAAAGTTCTTCAGGCTGGAGATGAACCGGAACACCAAAGGGAGCAAGGCCGGCGTGGTCGCTGGCTGGAGACATGACCTATTGCCAGGAGGAGCCGGGGGGATAGAAAATCATACCTAATTGACGAAGCTTGGGAAATGTTCTTCCTTTTCTGCCTTGCGGAACAGGTTAATACGGTCAAGCGTGGGAGTTATCATGATGACGACGATTACGACGACGGTGGTTATAATGGCCAGTACTTGTGGTTGTGTTCTCTCTTGCTGTTTATACATTAAAAAGCATCCGCGCAATGGGCCTCCTTTCGAGAGTGACAACTATGCAGTTAGCTCTTTAGCCTCTTATGCAACGCAAGTCACGATTCTGACATTATTCACTCTAGCATGGTAAGAGTCGCAGAAAATATGGCAGCCGTCCCGAAGGATTGAGGTCGTGGCATCAATAACGCGTACCGACAACCTCCCTGCTTGTACCTGGTAAAGTTTCGACTTGGAGCCTCATGACTCGCATGGCTGTGCAGCGAGCACTGAGAAAGATTCAGTTTTGGGGGAGGGCCATATTCAGCGTCATCGAGAGGGCGCCACAGCACAACAACGGAAATGAACACCACACAGTAACATTCAATACGAGAATATTATTAATAATGACGTCCGCGATATTAATAGCCCAATGCGGCTTGAATGACAATGGGTGACAGGTTAATACGAGGTACTGGGTACGAGGTATGAATTAAACAATTCGCGAGGCTGGGCCAAAGCCTGGTCGCCAAGACATCCCCGCAGTCCCTTGAATTTTTCCAGGTGAAAATGTCTTTTGGTGCCTTTGGATCCGCCAAAATTCAACACACTCGCATGTACTGCCTCTTGTCTTTGTAGCTTCTCCAATACATTCTCCAGGGTCAATCTGCGTCCTGCGCTTAGTTGGTTGACGGCTTTTGACTCACTGACCACTCCGAGTCCAACTGAGTCACTTGCATTCCCTTATTTGCTGCGCTCCCCGCACCATTGAACAGTCGTCCACCTGCATCCAACCCCAAGGTTCCATTTTACCCTGCTTCCGGCACCTTCGCCGCAAGCGTGTGAAGATGTCTACAGAGGAAGCAGTGACAGAGGCGCTCCAGACGCCAATGGACCAGAATGCGCAGGCCGTTGAGGAGGCTAAAAAGATGCTAGCTGAGCTGGAAGGCGAAGTTGCCGCCGAAGACAAACCCGAGAAAACAAATGGCGTCGCGGAGTCAAAACCTGCTCAGGAAGAAGCTCTAAAAGAGTCCGAGAGTACTGCAGCGAAGGAGGCGGCAGATGAGGAGAAGGATGCTACCGAGAAGAATGGTGAGCGCCGCGATCGTGGTCGATCAGACTACAACAGTCGGGGTCGAGGTCGAGGTCGAGGCGGTCACAACAACCACGACTCTCGAAGCTATCGCGACAACATCAAGTCCGACCTCACGACGCTAGAGGTTACCGATGACCCGGTTGCTATTCGGAAACAGGTATGTACACCCCAAAAGCCTTGCAAACAGGGTATGAGGCTTATCAGTCGGACAGGTGGAATTCTACTTTTCGGATTCGAACCTTCCCAAAGACAAATTTCTCTTCGAGCAGACTGGTGGCGTCGCGAACAAGCCCGTCGACCTTAGAGAAATTCACAAATTCAAGCGCATGCGCCGCTTTCAGCCCTTTGAGGCTATCGTCGCGGCGCTGCGGGACTCCAAAACACTCGAACTCACTGATAATGACACCCACGTGCGCCGAAAAGAACCATTGCCAGAAAACTTCTTTGAAGCCCTTCCGCAAGCAGCTGACCCCCGAACCGTGTACGTGAAGGGATTCGGTGAAGAGAGTTCAAGTACCCAATTCGACATTGAGGCATTCTTTGACCCATACGGTCCTACTCGAGCAGTCCGTCTGAGACGAAACAACGAGAAATTTTTCAAGGGCAGTGTCTTTGTGGAATTCGACACGGAGGAGCTGGCACAGTCATTCCTAACACTGGAACCTAAGCCGAAATTCAATGGAAACGACCTCCTCATCATGAGCAAGACAGAGTACACTAGTAAGAAGACGGCGGATCTTAAGGCAGGCAAGATCACGTCGAACAATCGATATGAGAGGGGAGGCAGACGAGATCGTCACAACCATCGCGGTGGTCGAGATGGAGGCAAGCGCAAGCGTGACGAAGATACTAGAGACTGGAGAACACGTCGGGACGAAGACCAGAAGCGTGGGTTCAGAGATGATAAGAGACGAGGTGACCGGGGCGGTCGCGATAACAGAGGTGATCGAACCAAAGGACCTGAAACTGATGATAGGTAAGTCGATCCCTGTTGTTGTTCTGGGAGATCTGCGAGGACTAATGAAATGTTAACCAGGGGCATTCCGATGGTCAAGTCTACGGCAGCCAAGAACGACAGCGGTCGTGAAGAAGCTCTCGCGAGGGCCAAAGCCGCGGTTGAAGCTGAGAACAAGAAGGAGCAGAAAGCTGCTGACGATGTCGAGTCGACCAAGCTAGATGGCGACGCCGATGCTTCTTCAAAGAACGTCCAAGCCGACACTGAAGCCACTGCTGGAAAGAAGCGAGCCCGAGAAGACGACGGGGACGAGGCTGAAGCTGAGCGAGAGACGAAAAAAGTGGATGTGAAGTCTGAGGCTCCGCCGGTCAATGGCGATTCACAGCCATGAACGATTCGGCAACTTTGTCATAATGACTGATACAATTAGGGAATTCGGAAGGAAGGAGCTGCAGTCCTGATCACTGCCCAAATCCTTCTGGGTATGTACCACTGCGCATTACCATCGAGGTATTGTAAGCGTTGCTATGGAAGGGCGTTCTTATCTAGCGGTAAACAGCAAGAACCAAAATTGGGCGGTTTCATGTACTCAGTTATCATGAAATGTTGACACCTAAGAAAAAGTAATGAATATAAATTAAGCCCGACATCTCCAAAGCCTCGTCTTGAAATAGATTGCCCCGTTGCATGGTTGCAACCACTCCGTGTGATCCCCGACCGGCGTACAAGACTCTGCACTCTGATTGTTGTTTGCTGCTACTTCACGTTTATTTATCGTTCTTAATCATGGCACCTTTGTATCCATCTTGTACAACGAGATGCCGTGCATCAAGTACAAAGCAAAGGCAGTGGGAACATCTGCACATCCTGACGAGGCTGATCACGTGATCATACAAGGCTGGCGAATCATATGTCACCCGCGCTGTCACCCTCGAAAGTTTCTCAGCATCTTCAATTTCGAGCCTCGATTCAACACATTCAACCTCAGGCCCGGCAAGTCTTGCTAATCGAAATCTTCGAAATAAAAGCCAAGACCTCCAAATCCAACATTTGCCTTCACCGCCATCGACACCAGGGTATTTCAGGTCCGCAAACTTGGACACCTTTCCGTCGCCACGCGCGCAGAATTGGGATACTCAGTGCGAATGTGGTGGCATCTCCCCCCACCGCCATCGTCGTCACAGCACAATGAACGGAGCTGCTGGTCCTGCTCCTAGCGGTGAAGGGCCCGCATCATCAACTTCGACCAATACGTCTGCAGCAACGGGAGGGCCGTCCAGGCGCTATGGTCCGCTACCAAATTACGTCCAAGTCGCCAAATGCTACGTCTTTGAGCAGGAGATCCAAAAGTGTCTTAAGGAGAACGGGGTCAGCCAGGCGAGAGAGGATAACTTGAGATTGGCGGGAGTGCAATGGATTGATAATGTGAGGAGAGCATTGAAGTTGTGGGTTTCTCCGTCTCTTTGGTATTCACAATGGGGCTGCCACATAGTCCGAAGTCATTTCAGAATCGCACCGGTACTCCTGAGGAACCCAGGAGGGTACATGACTAATGTGTCTTGTCCGCATCCAGGCCAGTCAGGACATTCAACACAGCTGTTGTATACTATCACAAGTTCCGGTTACAGCATTCAGATGGAGAGTACAGCTTTGTGGTAAGCACGCGCTGCAAATTTTCGAATTCTGAAGAATTGGTCCGCCCACTTAATTACCTGAGTTGCTGACACCCATGCCACCATCAGGACGCCTCAGCAGCGGCACTTTTCACGGCGTGCAAGGTCGAAGATACACTCAAGAAATCGCGAGATATCCTATGTGCGGCACATAACGTGAAAATCCCCAGGACGGAGCATTTGTCACCGGATGATCAGGTACGCTGTCGCCTTTATTCCTCATTCATAGCTTGCTCCCTCCCTTCCTCCACCCTGTTGCTTACCCAAACTTTTGGTCCACTCCAGGTCTTCGAACACCACTCCCGTACAATAATCGGCCTTGAAAGACTCATACTTGAAGCCGCTGGTTTCGACTTCCGCAATCGCCACCCGCAAGACCTCCTCATAAAGTTTGCTAAACATTACTCTTTCACCAAAGCTTCGCCCGTGGTCAAGACAGCATATTCGATCTCGCTAGACCTATACAGGACTTGGGCGCCACTGAAGCAGACGACAGCGACGATGGCGTTTGCTTGTCTCGAGCTTGCAGGGCGGTTGCTTGGGGAAGAACACGAGAGGATCTGGAAGGGCTCGGATTACAAGGAGTGGAAGGTCGAGCGGGGGATGGTGATGGGTACGTTCTCCTCGACAATATCACCCTGAAGCAACTCCAAGAAGAAAGAAAATAGTCTTCGCAAGAGTTAGTGCGTGCTGACAATATTTCTTTTGCCTCTGTCTCTAGAAACTCTTCTCGACCTCCTCGAACTCTACACCCACCACCGCAACTTGACGGCAACCGGGACGTCCTTCCCCGTTGACACGTTCCTCGAAGTACGTATCCCGCTGAACCTCGAGTCCGAGGAGAAGGAGATCCCACGATACACGGCGTGGGTGGAAACGAGCGGGTCTGCAGCGGACCATGCGAAGGGCAGCCATTACGGGCAAAACGTCAATGGCACAAGCGCCATGAATGGCTCCAAGTCCGGCTCATCGAGCAAGAACGTAAGTCCGCGCGACGTGACGAGTCCGCGCAGAGGCAGCGCGAGCACGAACGCTGCTTCTGGCGGCGGCACAGGCGTGGCGTCTTGGTCTGGGTCTGGATCCGGCTCTGTCGCCGGGATAAAGCAGCGCGTCGGCGAGAGGGGGCGCGAAGGCACGGTGCGCTTCATTCTCAACCCGGATAGGGAAAGGGAGGAGAACGCCATTGTCGAGTTATTTCGCAAGCCCTGAGATGCCCCAAAAATATTGGCCAAGAAAAAAGAAAAACAGAAATCAAAAAGGGAAAGGGGAAATCAGATCAGGATGATACGACAGGCAGACAGCCGCGGACTTGAAAACTTAGAACAGGACGCTGGATGAAGGGCCAGAAAGAACAAGCCCTTCTCATCTCATCTCAGCCCATCCATCCAACCGTTTTTGTATCGTTTCCGGCCTACTTTAAAAGAGGATTGGGTCCTGTGCGATGTTATACGACTGATTGATTGACCCAACATGCTCGACGCACTGGCTGGGCAGGGCAAGGCGAGGCGAGGCGAAGGCAAGGCAAGGCAAGACGGCTGCGCTGGCGCTGGCGCTGGAGCTGTCCCTCCGGCGTCATACATAATCATCACCATCCCATCGTTGTCATTATTGCGTGCGGGAGCTGCATTGTTCTGGATGTGTCGTTCACCGTCTGGCGTCTGGCGTTTTGCAAAGGTCGAAAGCTCAAGATATGGAGGGGGTGTTTGGTTGCTCCACTGCGATGTGCATGGATGGGGGTTCATGAATACCCAGCAGTATTATGAAAAGGTGCAAGGCAGGAATCGAGAAGCGCTACACACTACAAAGTGCACAGTCCGAAGGACAGCGAACAGTGAACGAAGAATGGAGAAGGAAGAGCGATGTGTGAGTATCCAACATGGAGATCATTTTTGTAAATACCTGACATATGTATCTCAAGGCTCGCTCGCTAGCCACTGCACCCAACATGACATGACATGTTCACTGTCCATTGTCCTTCCTTTCTTTCCACAGGACACAAAAATTCCCAGAAGCGACTTGTCTTTGACCTCTGACATTTTCGTCTTGCGTGTTTATTTTGCAATCTTCCAACAAAATGTCAACTGCCATCTCAAAACCAATCCATCAATTCACCCCGACAATTTCATCCAACCGCCGGCGTTTCCATCCCCCTGCTCCTGCCGGCCCCAACCACAGACACGACCATGACCCTGTCTATCCCCATTCTCTCCTAAAGACTGGCCAGCATCTGACTCAAGGTGCCCTTGTCATACTTGACGACTTTACCCTTTCCCTTGTCCACCTCATGATACCGGTCCCAAAACCTGGTGTAAAGCGGCTCAATCATACCCTGAATCTCCCTTCCCAATTGCGACCGAACTTCGGCTTCCATGTGTAGACTTTTGTGCCTGGTGATCAACTCGTCAAAACTGCTGTTAAAAAGTTTGAATTTTTCCTTGATCTTGTCCTTGTCTTTGGAGGAGAGGGATTTTATTATCGACGTCGAATCGATGGCCTGTCCGGATAAGGGGCGCGAGCCGGAGGAAGTCTGGATTTGGTCGAAGAGCTGGTTGCACGGGTCGCGCCACGCCGTCAAGTACAGCGACGAACCGGCTTTGCGGTAGGCGTCAAGTTTGGCGCTGTGTGGGGAGATCCCTAGATAGCGAGCGAGGTCTGGTGAGGATTGGACTGCCCGAGTGAGCACGGCAACGCTGTTGAGTTGAAAGATTCCCTGGATGGGCTTCTTAGGATGGAGGACTTGAGAGCGCGCATTGAGGGTCGAGAGGAGAGCGTCCACGATGTCGATCAGGTAGTGCGAGAGTAAAGTTGGGTTTTCGGTGGAAGGGGTTAGTTCGAGATTTAAGGTGGACTGGGAGGCCATTCCAGGGGTGGACTTCCAGTTACCTTCACCGATCGACGAGAGCAAGGCAAGCAGGGGCCGCTCGAATATAGCGAGGTTTTGGAGGCGGGAGGCTGTTTGTGAGACCAGTGGGATAGTGTTGCCGTCTGGCGGGAGGGTGGAAATCGATTCGGCTTGTTTCTTGGTTTGACTCAGTATGTCGCTGAACGATGAGCGAGCAGTGTCTCGTATTGGGCGGAGTGCATCCGCAAATTGTGATCGCAGCTGGCCCGTTCGTGATTCGAGCCGGTAGCTAAGAGGTGTGAAGAGATCTAGGATTTCGTAAGCGAGGAAACAATCGCTCAAAATGCGTGGCTTGATCCCGTTGTTCAACTCTGACAGAGTACGCGTGAAGGTCGCTAGGGCTTTGCCGCACGTCATGGTGAAGACCCGGCCGGGATCGTTGCGGAATATCCGGGAGGTGTTCTCTGCTTCAGCAAGAAACATGCCTTCGATCCCATTTGCATACGCCCCGACGCCACTCGAGCCTTCTCGGTAGATACCCGAATCATTTCCTCGTCGCTTCGAGGTCATGATTGAGGCCGTGGCTAGGTTTTGGAGGCTGTTTTGCAGGTAGTCTCCCCTCACTTCAACGTAAATCAGAGTTGCCGCGTCATCATCCCGTTGACCCAGTCTAGCCGAATGCGCTCCAGCTGAAGCCATTGCAATAGCTATTTGACTGAGAGACTGGGATTTTTCTTGGGAGAACGTGGGGAACGGTATTTGTTTGGTGATATGATGCAGAGGCTCGACCGGTTGGGCGTCCTCCTGCAGCATTTGCCGGTACAGGTCGTTCAACTGGTTGACGCCGGTGGACAAGAGGCTGTGGAAATCAGAAACAGCCTGCTGATTGGCCCTCATGTTTGTCGAGCTTAGATCGGTGAGAGCCTTGTCGATCCGCTTCAAAGCACTGAGATATTGCGGCAGTCCCGAAGCTTTGGGACCTGCTCGGATGATGCTCTCCTCGCGGCCTCTGGAGTCGAGCGGCTGCTTGAGCTTTTCGATGGCTTCATTGACCTTGTCGATATTCCGACTGGTGATCTGAAGTTGCTGAGTGTTGCTATAGATGGGCCCGATGGCGTCCTTGACAATCTTACCGCTGACATCGAGCCGCGCCAGACTGGCCGCGATGCGCTTGGTGATATCTTTCGTCTTTCCTAAGGAAGCCAGGAGTACTTCAACCTCGGCGCTCTCCTCAGCGAAGGCGGCATTTCTTGGTCCCACCATGTTCAAGGGTTCAAGCAGGAACACACGCCACACAAAATCTCCGGTGGGCACCTGTGGCCATGTACTCTGGTCTGAAACAGCGTCAAGAGGTGTCAGTCTGTGCTGCACAGCTTTGCATCTTTGCGGGGCCCCGGTTGCGTTAAGATGGTGATCAGCGCTGGAGCAGGCGCGACAAAGTGCGTTGTCTACTTCGTCTGTTTGGGCTATACCAAAAGTGATAGGGATTATTCATGAGGTGATAATGGTAAAGATGTGAGACGGCCAGGACGGCGAACGGATTCGAGTTTGGGCCACCAGCGCTAATGACCAGGCTGCTGGAAGTTGATTTGGTGATTGCCATTTCGGGTTTAGTCCAGGAACCACTGACAAGTTCTTGGCAGTGACTGCGCCGCGACGTCATTGTGACCTGATCATCCCAACAAAATACCGAGTACTCCGTAGAAATACCTCCAACACCGTCAACACCAACCCTCATGAGGCTCTTCGTCTAACCCCCAGCCTTAGTCTCTCACACAATCACACACACAAGCATGGAATTTGACATCTGCTAATCCCCTTTTCATGCAGCGCTCTTCTGAATATGAGCGCTGCGAGGCTTTTCCTCAATTCGAGCTACCTGCGCTACTCCGCCTTTGCCGCAGTCGCTTGCGCCGGTGTTCACAGCTCAACGCGCAGGTCCAATCCAATCAAGCTCGACAGCCCTCCAGGCGCCCATGTCCCTCAAGATGCATCTCTCATAGCCTACGCTCGCCGTGTACAAAGCCACTATGCGCAAGCTGACAACCCCAAACGCGCCACCAAAAGAGGGGACTCAACCATCATTGACAGAACAAACGACCCTGATCACTATGCCCCCGCCTTTGAAAGCGATGACGAAAATGCTTGGGCCTCCTTCTCGAGGAACTTCCACAATGTAAAAGAAGGTATTGCAAGGATAGACTGGAGCACTGTCGGCGACAAGATCACCGACTGGGTTGTGCCAAACTGGGCCAAGGCCCTTCCTGATGGATTTCAAAAGCTTCAATTCGAACTCTCGATGCAGCCAGGAACGCTGGCAGATCAGATCTGGCAGGAGGCGCATGACCCTTGCATCAATCCGGAAATCGAGTGGAACGCTACCGTTCGTGTTGGAGACACTCTTGGCAAGGATGAATTGGAGTTTCGGCGCAAAAGGAAGCAGCATGTAGTAAAGGCATTGGCAAAATATCTCGGTCTCGACGAGAACGAAATCCACCCCGATGACGTGCCGACTATTGCGATCTGTGGTAGTGGTGGTGGTCTGCGGGCAATGGTGGCCGGCACAAGCAGCTATCTCTCTGCTCAAGAGGCCGGTCTGTTTGATTGTGTCACATACACCGCCGGAGTCAGCGGCAGCTGCTGGCTGCAGACGCTATTCTATTCCTCCCTGGGTAAGCAAGATCACAGGCAACTCCTTAAGCACATAAAGTCGCGGATTGGGACCCATATTGCTTTTCCTCCGCCGGCATTGAAGCTAGTCACAAGTGCTCCGACCAACAAGTTCATCCTCAGTGGCTTCGTCGAGAAGCTAAAAGGTGATCCTGGTGCTTCCTTTGGTCTCGTGGATGTCTACAGTCTCTTGCTGGCTGCGAGGCTTCTGGTACCACATGGCGATCTCGACGTTAATGATCAAGATCTGAAATTGTCAAATCAACGAATATACATTGAGAATGGTGAATTCCCTATGCCCATATACACTGCCGTCCGACACGAAATCCCTGTGGACGTGGAGGAGGAGAAGGAATCTAGAGACAACCTGGCTCTCAAGCAAAAGATCAAGGAGAAAGCCAGGAAGGAGGCATGGTTCCAATGGATAGAGATGCACCCATGGGAGGTGTGGTGTGAAGAGTTTGGTGCTGGCATACCAACTTGGAGCTTGGGTCGACCTTTCAAAAATGGGCGAAATCTATTGCTCGACACCGGTGTCGCCCTGCCAGAAATCCGGCAAAGTCTTCTTCTTGGAATTTGGGGGTCGGCCTTTTGCGCTACATTGGCGCACTACTACAAAGAGATCAAGCCCGCTTTGATCGGCATGGTGGGATTCGAGGGGGTGAATCTCCTGGTTGAAGAGAAGAACGAAGACCTCATCAAGATTCACCCCATCGATCCGGCCACTATTCCGAATTTCGTGTACGGCATGGAAGGCCAACTCCCCCCGACTTGTCCAGACTCTGTCTTCAAAAATGATCACCTCCAGCTGATGGACGCTGGAATGAGCAATAATCTGCCCATTTACCCTCTCTTACGGCCTGGCCGGGACGTCGACGTCTTGATAGCGTTCGATGCGTCCGCAGATATTCAAAAGGAAAATTGGCTCTCCGTGGTCGACGGGTACGCCAAACAGCGAGGCATCAAAGGATGGCCCGTCGGTGCAGGATGGCCGAAGAAATCATCGAAACCTCAGGAGAATGCCAAAGCACTTGAACAAGCACAAGCAACCTCCCCGCAAGAAGCAGCCACGAAACTCGCTGCAGCGAGGGAGGAAGATCGCGAGAATAAAGCTGCGAAAAAGGACAACACTCCGGAGAGCCCTACGACCGGCTCCGATCCAGACGCGGCGAGCACACTGGGCCCGTGCACCGTCTGGGTAGGCAGCACAGCCGAAAGATCCAGCGATGAAGAACCACCGCCCTCAAAAAGTCTCAACTGGGATGCCGGTGACAGGGAAGGCTCCGCGTCTTTTCACCTGATGCAGCCGGATGCCGGTATTGCCGTAATCTACTTCCCTCTCCTTCCACATCCCGATGTCCCAAACGTCGACCCCGATAAATCCGACTTCATGAGTACCTGGAATTTCATATATACGCCCGATCAGGTGGATAGTGTGGTGGAGCTCGCGAGGAGGAATTTTGGGGAAGGTGAGGAAAGGGTGAGGAGCACTGTAAGGGCCGTTTATGAGAGGAAGAAGAAGGCGAGAATGGAGAAAGAAGGGAGGAAGACCACCAGGGAATGGAAAGGGCGAATAAAAAGAATAGGGAACAGTTTTGTGTGAGGTGAGACTGCATTGATGACGGCCAAGATGCCCGACTGTGTACGCCGTGCTCTGTTCCGTCTCGAATGTCTCGAGGTGTGACTAGACGAGGTTCCAAATCTAGAGTTTAGAGATTCTACTATAAGAAGCCCCTGAAACGGATGTGATATACGGCTTATCCCTTACACGATAGCAAATACTCTAGAAATGTCTTCAAGAATGAACAAACCATTTCACAAGACCATTCATCATGCATGAAGAGAACCTCTACTTCTATACCCGGCAATGTTCTCAAGACCTACCCTCTAGATAGACCCTCCCAGTCCAGTCCAGTCCGATCGAACGAGATAGAATAAATGGACCGTGAAAAGAAACAAAAATTGCCTTCTAACGCTAACGTGCTGATGTGAACCAAACCACACCAGCGCCTCCTCGATCCCTTCCCCTGATCTATGAGCCATGGTATATAACATCGAAGAATGGTTGAAAAATACATGCATACGTACATGAGGCAGGACATGGATGGATGGGTGGTTCTCGATCTCGGCACTTTTCACTTCATGCCACATAGGCAGGGGGTTGTGCAACGCAGCGCAAAGCAATGCAACACGACGCAATACATCGCACCGCACCGCAACGCACCGCACTGTGCCGCCACCATGCACCCACCATCGTATCGGATCGTTCGTGGTCGGTCTCGCCGTCTATGATAGCCGTGCCACCAGTGCAGTTTGGAAGACCCGACTAAATCAGCCGTCCCGTCATGTAGACTTCTTTCCGTCCCAGGGCATTGTTTTTCGACGTCGAGTTCAAGCTTCAGCATAAGCTTGAGCATGAGCTTCGTCGAGAAAGCGACTTCCTAACCATTATTGAGTCTGAGCATCGTGCGCTGAGTTTTGCTGGCGATTTTACCCCGTAGCTAGCTTGTGACAATGACTTTCTGGGGTTCTCCGCTTCCATTGTGCCCACTGCTTTGGCATGCAACGGAGGCAAGCGCAAGGCACGTGTCGTCCAGACAGTGGTCTCGGTATGACTGTCAACACCTTTGACGGTTCATTGGGAGATGGTTTCGGCAAAGCAAAGCGTGGCTGGCTGCAGTGTGCAAGTCAATCGCTTTGAGGCGCTAATAAGAGGCCACCATGCTCATCCTTTGCTTCTTTCCCAGTTCATGCTTGCAACCGATATCCTCCCCTTCTTTACAAGGGAAAATGCATCCGCCTAAAATTAGAGCAGCGTCTGACAGAAAAGAGGATTGGAGACTCTCTTTGCGCCATGGCTTTTCATGCTCACTTGCGCCATAGTCTTGTTCACACGGGCGGATCGCCTTCTCCTTTCTTATTACCTTTGATCGATTCGATGAACTCTTTGGCCCATTCTTTCGCTTTTTGGAGCTCTTCGTGGAGAAAGTTCCACCAGCTTCCTTTCTTTGCTCCCTCCTCTTCATTGGGGGTTGTCCCATTCCCCGTCGTCTCATCTTCTGGCGTCTCGTCTACTTCAGGTTCAGTTGGAACGTCAACTGAAGCCTCTTGTCCATTTTCAGGTTCCGTTGGATGGTTAACTGGAAAATTCGGACTGCCATCAGGAGTATCTTCCTCTTGATGTTTCTCTTCGTCGACTGGATCCGCAATTACCTCCGATCCTGGTGTATCACCCTCGGAATGCAACCCCTCGGTCTGCAAGGGAAGCCTTAATGTCCCATTGTTCGCCTGCGGGGCAATCCCCAACGAATCACACATGATATTGTACACCTCGATATTCTGAAAAACGGGCACTCGGCTGTTGGGTGCATGTGGGAATGCAGGGCCCCTAGCCACAAAGATAGCTCTCATAAGCGGGTGCTCGTGATCATAGCCGTGCAGACCTTTCGGTGCATATTCTTTGCCCGTACTCAATGCTTCGGCGACGTCAAAATCGGATTTTTCCACAACTGCCCAGCCGGTTTTTGGAATGATCCACAAAGGGGCGATGCGGGCGTTTTGGGTGAAATGATAGCGCTCCGGCATGGTCTCGAGAGTGTAGACTTCAAAACTGCCTGCCTTTGCTGCTTCTTTAGAGAGCTGCTCGTAAAGTATGGGGAGATCGCGGGCTGGGTTCTTGAGACGCAGGCCCCGAAGAGGCCAGCCATCGATATGATCAACCAAGGACATGTCCATGAGATCGTCAAGTTGAATAAGTCGATTTGTGGAAGTAGTAGCCATTCCATGGTCAGAGACAATTACGAGATTGACAATTTCGGTAAGATTGCGCGCAAGAAGGCCCTCAATTAGCAAGGTCAACATGCTGTCGACATCTGCAATGGTTGCTCTGATCTCTGTACTGTTTGGACCGTAGAGATGCCCGTCCGCGTCAACGTTCGGCACGTATGCAGCGATGAACTGTGGTCGTAAGTCCTCATGCGCGGCAGCAGCCTCGTCATCATCACCAGGTAGATCGAGCCACTGTAGAACCCTGTCGACTTTACGAGACAATACTTCACTGCCGTTGTACTTGTCCACATATGTCGGCTCCACGTCAGGGATATGGGCCTCAGAGCCCGGCCACATGTGAATCGCAGAACGGACGCCCTGATGCTCGGCCGTCACCCACAGTGGCTCTCCATTCCACCACTTTGGTTGCATCGAGACATTGATGTTGGTGTACCAGAACTCTTCCTGCAGCACGGGATCCCAAAATTGGTTGCTGACAACACCGTGACTTTCAGGATACAGGCCAGTCACCAGGGTGAAATGGTTGGGAAAGGTCACAGATGGGAATGATGGGAGCATGTATTTAGGGGATACACCGCTCGCGATAAAGGCATGAAGCGCTGGGGTAATGTTGCGATTGAGAAAATCAGCGCGGAAGCCATCAAGAGATATAAGTATTGTTGTGGGTCTGAAGATATGCGTCCCGTTGTTGTATCTGGTAAGTCGGTGAGCCGTGGGCGCGAGAGGGTGTTTCTTCATAGAGGCCTTGTAGGCACCGAACAGCAGGGCGACGAAGAGTCCAACGATGGCCAGATAGATCATGGTCAGGCGTCCACGATGGGATTTTCTGGGAGCATGTCTGTCCCACTTTGTACCCTCGAACTCGGTGTCCGTGGAGGACTGAGAGCTGGTGTCTTTGAACCCGCTTTCCATCTCAAACATTTTGTCTGAAGATTCCATTCCACTTCTCCTCGACTTCTTGCGCCTGTGCCTCCGAACTTTGGCGGCAGTGCTTGCTGCATCTTGCCTTCCTTCGCGGAACCCAAACACGGCTCGTGCTGTCTCCAGTCCCGAAGGTTTCTGCAAAAGCCTCTCATGCTCTTCAGTCTCTTTCAGAATATCTCTATCGCCCTCCTTGACATGGCCTGCAGCCTCCAATTCGACTTCGGTGTCAGATCCTGAATCGGAGGGAACAACAACGGCGTCTGCATCGTAGTGTTTCTCGGACAGGAAACCATCGCGCTCACGGGCCATGTCGGTTTGTTCTCGAGTTGAATAATGCTTCGACAAGGCGAGTATAGCCGGCTTTTGCTAAGGAGTCATCTCTGGTCAGATGGGTGCAGCGGGCAAAGGAGTGGCATGTCACACAGCCTCACGATTGACCCCTTGATTCAAAAGGCATGGGCCGCGAGGTGATCATCGGAACTCGGATATATATTTAATCCGAGAAGCCTTGCCAACTCATAAGTGGATCCCAGCCTTGTGGCAGCCCCTTTTTCCCTCGCATCCTAGTGAGCTGTTCAGCGAGTCCACAACATCCCCGTGCCGAAATGAATGTCTGAAATTAAATGTGGCGGTGCAATGGCACCCGCACAGACCGGCTGTAACAGGCAACAGTCAAATGCTTGTACTAAAGGCTCGAGTTTGGATGTCGATGCGCCCATGAAGAGATTCAACCATCTGCGTTGCTGTTCCACGATCGAAAAATGGAGCACTTTGAGAAGTTGCGCGCAGTTGGTACGTTGACCATGTCCAATCTGAGATATCCCATTCTATGAGACTGACCGAAACCTTGTAAGGCAGGCTGGAGCGCTACTCAACAGCCCGCCATGACTTGAAGTTCTATCTTGGCCCCGCTGTCACTGCCTCGTACAGGCTCCCGAAGGGCCATTCTCAGCCGCTGAAAGACTGCATCTATAAGGCTTTGGGAGATGTCATAGCTCAACATCCTATTCTCTCGGCGATTCCTGTAGACGAGAGTACCCAGAATCCGTACTTCGTTCGTCTACCAGAGATTCAACTCCGAAAATGTGTCTTCTTCCGAGAACGCCGACTCGATTATGATCTCGACGCGGATGTTGAGCGGGACATTGAATTAGATGAGCTCCTCAGCACTCAACACAGTGTCCCTTACGAACCGCCAAATCCTTTTTGGCGGGTACATATCCTGACGAGCTCTGCTCATCCCTCTCAGTTTACTGCATCTTTTTTGTACCACCATGCCCTAGGCGACGGAGCCTCGGGAATGGCGTTCCACAGATCCTTCCATAGCGCTTTGTCCAAGTCCCTCTCCATCTCTCCAGCAGACCTACATTCGACCTCAGTAATCCCTTCACCTTCAACACCATTACTTCCCGCCCTCGAATCACTACACCCATTACCCGTCTCAACCTGGCATCTCCTCACTATTCTCTTCAAAAACAACATCTGGTCCGTCCGCGACCTCGGTCTATGGACAGGCTCCAAGTGCGCCGCACCTTTTGGACAATCATGCGTTCGACATGTCGCTTTTTCGGCCCGAAGCTCAATAGCGTTCAAGACTCTCTGCCGTGAGAATGGCACGACTATTACCGGCGCACTTCAGACACTGATCGCCGGCGCGCTCTTTGCCCATCTACCCGAGAAATTCACCAAGCTCGTATGTACCGGTGCGCTTTCAGCCCGTCGATTTCTGCCTGTGGATGCCAGGATTACAGACGATAGCATGGGCGTCTGGATCCTGGACATGTCCGAAACTTATACACGAGATCGCTTCCCCCAACACGGCAACTCAGGACAAGGAGGACGAGATCTTTTACCATGGACCGAAGCCCGGCGCTCCCGCCAGAACATTGAGCGCGTCTTAAGCTTGAAAGGCCAGAATGCAGGTGTTGGGCTGCTAGGGTATGTGAATGATTACCAACAAGAGTTGTTTCTATCCAAGGTTGGCAAAGACAGGGACTCGAGCTTTGAAGTGTCCAATCTAGGACTATTCAAGCCAGCGGCGCCGGCAGAGGAAGATGAAAGGGTGGCAATAAGGAGGATGGTATTCACCCAGAGCGCCGGGGTTACGGCTAGTGCGATTCAAGTGTCTGTAATCACTGGGGCAGATGGGTGCCTGGTGCTGGGAGTCTCGTGGCAGAAGGGAATTGTGGACGATGGACTTGTTGAGAAGGCCATGCAAGCCGTGAACGCAGAGGTGAAACGCCTAGTAGGCACTGGTTGAGTCGACGCAGGACATGGTATCATCAGTGAGTTATTATGGACACGCTCACTCTGTACATACAAGGATAGATCTGTAGATTTTACCGACCAATGTCCTCGATAACATTGTACACTGTACAACGTTCTTTATATAGTTGTATTTAGAATTTAATCAGGGGGTCAAAGCAAAGCAAAAGTACCACTTCCATCATCTTGATTCTTGGGGTGGCTTTTGGCGCCCTAGCAGATAGAAAATTGGGGGCATTTTCCCAATCTGGCACTATCCTTCGAGATGACGCGAAATGAAAACATTGAAGGCTGAAAAGGGCTCTCGGAGAGAGAAATACCCTTTAAGACCCCCCTCTAGTTCCGCCCTCGCTCTTCTGCGCTGTTTTCCTCATTCCTCAGCGGACAGCGCACGAAGCTACAGACCGATCATAACGATATCCCAGAATCAAGCCAGGACAGCGATATAGACGCGGCTCGGCGGTTAGCACACGATGTTTCACCGACGGCCTGCACCCCAGAGCCTCGATCAAATCCGCCTTGCTCGTCGACAGGCAGAAAGACAACTCGTCGCTACCCTCGGTCCTCTTCACGGCGACTTGGAAGAATTCTACACCTTTGTACCGCTCCCCGATGGCCATAGAGGAGAGCTGAAAGTTGTGCGGCACAAATTGGGAGCCCAAAGTCAGGCCTTTACATTGGGATCCGTTGATGCTGCTGCAGCTGGTACAGGGAGCAACGGCAATAGTGATCGTCCATTTATCGTCCTCTTCCACGGAGGAGGGTTCTCAAATGGCAGTGTCGATTACATGACTCGCCCAGCGCGAGACTTTGCGATCGAGTTCAACGCTGTGGTTGTGTCTGCGACGTATCGGCTTGCTCCCGAGTATCCATTTCCTGTCCCGATGCAAGATGCATGGGATACCTTGGTGTGGCTTTCTCAACACGCCAGGGAATTTGGCGCAAACCCTCAACAAGGCTTCGTGGTCGGTGGGGTCTCAGCTGGAGGGACTATGGCGGCTGTTTTAACACAGTTGGCGCAGGATCGCGGTCTTACGCCACCACTCACCGGCGCATTCGTGTCCATCCCTCTTCTGCTCGTAAAGGAGATTGTTCCCGAAAAGTACAAAAAGGAATGGACTTCGATGGAAGACAACAAGAACAATCCATCCTTGAATCGGGACACCATTCGAAATATCATCCGCACACTCGACCCGGATGTCAGGTCTCCCCTATTTTCACCGTTCAATAGCAGGAATCCGCACGTGGGATTACCACCGACATACGTGCATGTAGGTGGAATGGATGTCCTGAGGGATGACGGCTTAGTCTACGAGAGGGCGTTGAGAGATAACGGCGTGCAGACGCGGTGTGACATATTTCCTGATCTGGGCCATGTTGCTTGGACGATTTATGCCACAGAGTACTCTCGACTACGATTGGGGCCAAAGATGACGGGAGCGATGAGATGGCTGTTGAGCCGGGAAGGATCGAACAGGGTTTAGAAGGCGACAGCTGGATTTGGAAGAAGTGCTTCATTGGCTGTCAATCTTTGCGGCAATTGTTTCAGACATGGGTTGAAAGCATGCGAGGTGATAAAACAACTCCTGACGGTTCAGTCGACTCCTTAAGCCTCAAGGAGCTTAGTAGTGATGTGGTAACTGCTTACCCGTTTTTGCACTGCTTGACAAGACTCCTCCTCGGTGTACTTCACAGTACGCACCTCGTCAGCCAAACTAGCCTTCATGATTTCGAGCGGATCATGGCCACATTTCCTGAATATTTTCAGTCGTGAATCGAATTTGAAGAATCAGATGTAAATTGCGTTTCTGGCCCATACTGTCGCAGTATGGCTTGAGTGGGCGTGCGGCTGAGACAGTCGACTGGTGCATCCACTCGTTTTGGCCATCTCTGGGCTTGCCTGCCGCGATAATAATGCCTCGAGGAGAAATGCTGCTAATCCGTAACTGTCGAGCCAGGATTGGCCAGCTAGTGGACAGCTTGCGCTTTCGAATTCAGATTGTGGTAGCCCAGAGAATAACATGTGGCTATGAGATCCTAGAAGCAGCTCAGCCTCGTCCGCCAGATATGGTTTAGTGCATGAGGGGTCGATTCTTATGTAACCACGAAAAGTGGGGAGTTTCGCGTACCCCCACACAACACGAAAAGAAATAATTTCTCGAAACCCATTTTGCTGCAGTTAGTGAAGCCCAGTTCTGGATAAGACCTGGTATGTCATTGCCTTACAGATTCAAAGCAGGAGGCACTGGAAGCAATGCTGCAATGGCACACACCACTACTTCTGTTCATCACCACAGAAGTACGACAAAAGTCGACCACAAACCGTTCAAATCGCGGTTTGCCTCCAAGAGCGCCTTGAAGGATCAAGCCAAAGGTGTGAATGGCGTTCCCCGGAAGAAAGAGTTCGCACTGACTCCATTACAGGAAAAATTGAGAGCCAGCGGCCAGAGAGAGGCGAGAGAAAGACTCCTCACCAACAAGTCATGTCGAAATTGGCCAGACGTAACCAAGCGAAGCAACTGCGCATGCACCACAAGGATAAGAAGGAGGGAGAGGAGATCATATTCCAAGGTGCCGATGGAGCAGCAAAACACATTGCGGTCGTGCCACTCTCCGTCGACATCGACCCGTACTCGACCATCAGAATATTGAATGAAAGTGTCGACGTTTCGGACTCCAATGTCTCCTCCGGAACGGTCCCCGTTCGAGTCGATCGCTTTCGCCGCAATCTCCTCTATTTACCGGCTAAATTCGACCTGCTGAACGCTCTGGACATTTGCAAGCTCGCGGACTGGGTAATTTTCGTTCTAGACGCGGAGCAAAAGTACGGCGAAGAGGAGGACTTATTTCTGAGATCGCTTGAAGGCCAAGGCATCACCAATGTCACTGCTGTCGTGAATAATCTGGATCAGAAAGTACCAGGGCCCAAGAAGATGCGACACCTGACAGAGATGAACATCGGTCTGGGTCGTTATTTTCCCGCCCTTGACAAATTGTCTAGCTTGGACAGTAAATCAGATTGCACTAACCTTGTTCGCCGACTTTGCACCGCTTCGACGCGAGGAATCCGCTGGCGGGATGACAGGAGCTGGATGCTGATTGAGCAAGCCAATTGGGGTCAACAAATGGATGAAACGGTGGCCACCACCAGCGTGACGCTAGTCGGGACGATTCGAGGAAAAGCATTGAATCCGGATCGCCTGGTCCATGTCCCAGGCTGGGGAGACTTTGAGATTTCTTTGGTCCGACAGGTGCCCCGCCAAGGGCAGAAGAGGAAGGCAGAGGAGATGGACGCAGATGAACCCGTCAAGGAATGGAAACCCACCGCGGACCAAGACGATCTTGCAGAATTGGCGCCTGAGCAGGCGGAAACGCAGGATTTGGCGAGTAGTGTGGCCACCACCGAGCACAAAGGCGTCCTACTCGATGATCATCACTATTTCTCTGACGACAACTCCCATATGCCTCCTCCGCCCAAGAAGCTACCCCCGGGGACTTCCGACTACCAAGCAGCCTGGTTCCTGGATGACGTCTCAGACTCGGAATCCGACATGCCCGATGACGAAGATCGAGACGGAGACGTGGCGATGGACGCCGAGCAAGGGCCGCTAGACACTGAAAACGGTGGCGGAATGGTCCCCACCAACGCAGAAGACGGCGAAAGCGTTATCGAAACGAAACCACCTTCCGAATATCCGCAGTCTGAAATGAACATCGACAACGACGACAATGATGATGCTCCACTCGAGGCCGAAGAAGAAGCGCGCCAACTCGAAGAATTCCGCGTCAGTCGCAGGAAGAAGGAAGCCGAGGAAGACCTCGAGTTCCCGGACGAAATCGAACTGCACCCGGACGTCCTCGCTCGCGAGAGACTCGCGAAATACCGCGGCCTGAAGAGCCTGAGGACAAGCGAGTGGAACCACGCCGAGGACGCCCCCTACGAGCCAGCAGAGTACAAGCGCCTGCTGCAAGTGCCGGAGTACAGGAAGTCGTACAACAGCGTCATGAAAGAGTCCTTGGCGGGTGACGTGCTGGCTGGCACGAAGGTCGAGATCGAGCTGCGCGACGTACCGATTTCGCTACAATCTAGTGCACCGCAGCCGTCGTCCATGTTCTCGCTCCTCAGACACGAACACAAGCACGCCGTCATCAACCTCAACGTGACGCTGCGCTCAGACCTCGAAGAGCCAATCAAATCCAAGGATGAACTGATCGTCCAGATCGGCCATCGCCGACTGCTCGTCAACCCGGTCTTCTCAGGAGCAGGCCAGACGCCGAACGATGTCCACAAATTCGACCGCTTCTTGCACCCGGGGCGGACTGCCATCGCGACATTCATAGGTCCGCTGACATGGGGCTCTGTTCCTGTGCTCGTCTTCCAACGTCGCTGGCCTCACCTGTCACCAGACACAGCAGCAGCGCCAGCGCTAATCGACTCACAATCCAACACCCTAGTATCCTCTACACCATCCCAATCGGCACTCCGCCTAGTCGGAACCGCGACGACGCTCCCACCATCCTCGACACGCGTGGTCGCCAAGCGCGTTGTATTGACGGGCCACCCTTACAAGATCCACAAGAAGCTGGTGACGGTGCGGTACATGTTCTTCAACCGTGCGGATGTGCAGTGGTTCGCGGCCCTGCCGCTCTTCACCAAGCGGGGGCGCCAGGGTTTCGTCAAGGAACCACTGGGCACGCACGGGTACTTCAAGGCCACGTTTGACGGGCGCATTGGGCCGCTCGACGCCGTCGCCGTCGCGCTGTATAAGAGGGTGTGGCCGCGGCCGTCGCACGTGTGGGAAGGGTGAAATGACTGGTGCGGATTTGATCAACGTTTGGTGGTGCTAGGAGCTACTTGGAGGTCGAGGGGAGGGTGGAGCCAAGGGAGAGTCCTGTTCGCATGTGTGATGCGTTGAAATGATGTTGATGGTCCGTGATGACTGGAAATGATAATGGCATGCTACGACTCTGACGAATCCTATCGAGAATAGAGTATAGAACACGGGGGCAGAATGGCCTGTCTTGTCTGCCTCTTTGAATAAATAAATACTTTGTTTGCCCGTCAAGAACCCATCCTCTCTCCTCTCGCGAGCGCCTGACCGACCCAGACCGAAGCACATAATCTCGTTGCTTGCAGTTTCCTAGAGTCCTTTGACCACGTAGCAAGTCCCCAGGTCTCCCAAGCCCAATAAATACTACCGGCGAGACAGTTCCCGCCGAAACTCGGCACAATCCGACACAGTCTCTTGCTCAGCTGCGAAAGGTCTTCATTGACCATATTGTCAAGCTAAGCCGGGACTTGTCTCATCACTTTTGTAGCGGCCTAAAAGATTCAAAAAATTCCATCATATACCACTGGTTCTGTTCTCTGGCGTATCTCACGGCACTTTTGCAAACTTCCGAAATGGGCCTGGGTCCATCGTAATAGTTATCCAGGAGCAACTTCACCATGTCGATGCGTCTCCGTTCTGCTGCTCCTTCAATTGCTCGTCTGCCTCCGTAGGGACTTGGGTCGACATCTATGTGAGCGCCGTGTTCCAGAAGAATTTGGGCGATGCGCAAGTACGACTTGAATGCGGCTCCTTGTAGAGTTGTGACACCAAAGAGTGGAGCTGCTGGAGCGTTTACTTCTGCTCCTTCTGCTAGCAGATACTGGACGAATTCGACATCGCGCGGCATTGGTTTTGTGACCCAATTCGATGAGTCTGCGAGCACAACTCAGTCTTACCGCACGATGTTGATGGTCGGTATGCTTGAGTGCGGCCCGCAGAGGAGTATCCACGCCACTGGCGAGCAGTAAATCCATTATTTCAGCTCTCCCGCGAAACTTTTGGTCGTCTAGAGATTCGCTAAAAGTGTAAACCAAAGGATATCCCATGTAGACATCGACTCGAAACGATATCAGAAGGCGGGCCATCTGGATATCTCCGCTGTAACAGGCTTCCTCAAGAGCAAACAAGTCACCCCGTTGCGGCCGTCCGGCCTCCTGGAGCTCGCTGTTACCAAGTTGGCCCAGATATGGATCCGCCCTATTACGACGCAGCATGTTCGTGATTTCAAGGTCTGAGTTTGCGACCGAAATAATTAGGGGCGATAATCTTCGCGGGTCATCAGGGTCACTGCTGCAGTAGATGTCGCTGCGCATGATGGAGTTGACATCAGCCCCTTTAGCTTATTAATATTCGACAATGTCTTTGCGTTTCGGTGCAACAGCCACATGCAGTGCAGTCATACCGCGAGTCCCCCAAGGCTGGTTCTTAGAAATGTCAGGTTTGTTCAGATCAGCTCCGCCATTGCACAGGCAGGTTACGGCATCCAGGTTGCCGACAGCAACTGCCCAATGCAGAGGAGGTAATGAGCACGTCGTTAGCATATCATCGATATCAAAGACAGGAAGCGGGAACTCTAGCTCCTCGTCCAGTGCGGGCATTGGATACGCATCGTTGGCATCTGCGCCCCATTCAAGCAAGAGAGACATGAGCGCCAAATCTTGACTCAAAATCGCTGCTGTCAACGGCGAGGAGCCATCCCTGCACTTTGCGTTCGGAGACACTCCGTCACGCAACAGCCTAAGTGTCCGCTCATAGTCATGATGTTTGACGAACCCTTGAAGAATCGTCGTGGCGTGATTTGGAACAGAGGAACAGTCACGCTTTGCACCCGCCCTTCGCAGGTCAAATATGGCACCAAATCCTCGTTCGGGTGCTTGGTGAAGTGCTGTGCCTCCCCATCTTCCCATTGAGCCCCAATCCAGGTCTGCCCCAGCAGAAGTAATCCGCTGCACCAATTTCTCATTTCCTGACCACACTGCGGCCTCAAGAGACGATAGGCCGCTTTCTTCCACCTCTGCTGGGTTGACCATTGCACCCCGCCTGATCAATAAGTCGACAGGAGCATCTCTCCCATGGCATGCTGCGAGTGACAAAGGAGGCGTGCCATATACTGGATTCATTGTTGCCCCCTTGCTCAAGAGATATTTCGTCATCTCTGGATCTTCAAGGCCTGCTGCGGCTTGTATTGGGAAGTCGATGAGAATTTGACTGTTCTCGTCGATAGAATGGAATCTCCAAAGCCGAGACTCTTCAATAACTTGTTTCCTTTTAGCTGTTTCGAGGATGCCCAATGCCGACCAATTTGGGTCTGCGCCATATTCAACCAGTAACTTGACCATGTTCAGGCCCGCACACTCGACAGCAACGACGAGAGGCGACTTGTAAAAGTAGCTGGTCCAGGCTTCCATGATTCCCCCGTGTCCGCGTGTTAATGAACCATTTGGATTTGCCCCTTTTCGAGAAGGAGTCTGACCATTTCGACATCACGAGAACATATCGCTGCGCAAAGAGGGGTCAACCGCCTCGCACGGTCGAGGTGAGTCAAGTAGTCAGGTAGAAATCCGCAACATTCGTCCACTGACGCACCGTGTCGGAGGAGCATCTCAACCGTTTCCTTGCTAGCGCCGTGACATATTGCCTGTGTAATCACAGGACTAGTTGGCACTACCAGTATTGATACTCGTGACTTCAGCAGTAGGGGAAAGATTTCGTCAACCCTGCGCGAAAGGATAGCAGCGCTAATGGCACATTCGTTCCTCGCCCACCCAAACTCAGCGCTGCAATAAAACCTGGGAGATAGGGAGGACTCTGAAGCTGTGCACTCAGCCGAATCCTCGTATAATGGACAATCTCGGTTATGTATATTTCGGCCATTCATCCTCCTCGCAGTGATGTCTGCACCAGCATCGATGAGTAATTCAACGATTCGAACTCTCCCACGCCACGCCGCTTCCACAATCAAAGTCTTCGAGTTGTAGCTGGTAGACCTGCGATTCACATTCACCCTGTTCTTCACGGCGCTCTTCACCAAACCCAGCAGGTCCATCCTCACCACCGCAAACAGGAGTTCTGTCACGATGGCGCGAGTGCTGGGGTCTTCTCTCAAAGGGAACATATCGAAAGCACTAAGCCCAGCCGTTTCGTTCAGATGAATCATGAAAACGTTAACTTGTTCCGAATCCAGAAGGCTGTTGGCTAGCATGAGCGCCATAAATGACATGAGAACTTGCATCCTCGTTTCGAGCCGGGGCTGATTAGTTGATTGACCCAGCGTTCAGTCTCTCTAGGATATTTTTCGAGGATTTATGGTGCAATCCAAACCATGGTATTTGCGAAACCTTCCTGACTAGTCCACCCCGGCGTTAGATCTAACAGGCTAGCAATGGTGGCATTAACGATATCACCGTCTCTGGAAGCCTTCCGTATCGTGCGATCTTCGAGAAACCCAAGAGTCGGATGACAAATTTGAATCACCTCGGTTTGGAATGGACAACCGAGAAATACCTCTCGCCAGTCTTCCCCGTAGCTCAATCCAGGCATCCCGCCAGCGACATCCAAGACAGCAGATGGTAATGGCGACGGAGAACGGTCCGTTTTCCCGGACAAGCCCAACATGGCCATCTCGAGCTGAGGGCATATCTGGTGCCACGGCAACGAGATGATGAGAGATTTTGGTATCTGGATTCTCGGGGGGATGAATAAGTGGCATGGTTGTATCCCGTCTGGCGTTGGGGGTCTCGCCACAGTTTGCATCAACGTGGGAAGGTCGCCTCGAGAAAGCTGTCTCCTCAGCTTTTTGTCTGGGATAAGTTCCCCTTTCAAGAAGACGTCCACTTCGTCAATGGTGAGGTGCTTGCGCTTTAGTGTCAAGCTGACGTCCTTTCAGAAGTCACGCTTCTGGTTCTTCCGGATCCCCCAGGCTTCGAACTTCCTCATGTATTGAGACTTGCTGCCGAGAAGGTGAGCTGAAAGCAGAATTTGGTGAGGGCGTAGTTACCTTGCACCGAAGCCATGATCCCTGGATATCTCCTCTATCAGCCGGTTCATAGGCATGGTTTGGTCGACATAGAGGCGACAGATGGTCTGCTTATGCTTCTGTTAGTCGGCATTGGAGATCTTGTGAGGCGCAGTGATGATGACAACAATGGATTTGGATGAGACACCAGATGATGGCCGCGGGAATATTGACCAGCTCCAGGCAGAAATGGTTTCCGGTAAAGAAAGATCAAGACCCAGGTCATGGTGCTCGTTGCAGTGGTGGTGGCCGTGGTGGCTTTAAGCCCCAGCGAGCGAGACGACCACGGCGCCACGAAACTTGAATGATGAGGCTGCCACATGGTAATAAAGAAGGCAAATACTGCACTGGCAAGGCGTCTCGTATCCGTGACATAGGTGCAGCCGAGCCATGGATTTCATTTGGTGTTGCCAGAAGTTTGGCCAGAAGGTCGCCGCCTAGTACGGAGGAGTCACCCACAGCACCCCACTCCTCAAACCCTTGCATTGACTGCGCCTGTGCGACACTGACTGGAGAAGCAATTGGCTCTGGACAGAATTTCGCCTGCCCTGCGGTTGGTGGCTCTTTCATTCCTTGTTCTGTGCCGGTCGAATGCCATCGTAGGTGGAGGGCTCTGCTGCAGCGCGCCTGCAGTTTGCCCAAGGATTATACCTGGTCAAGAAAATCCGCAGAAGATGCAAGCCATCAAGATTAATCTCCAGGGCCTAGATTGTGGCCGTCGTTGTGACCGGCGCCTCTACATCGTCGCCCTCCCGGTCCTGCTTGTTTATGCCCTCTATACTCTTCCGAGATAGCTACAGCCCACAACACGATCACAGAAAGGACCGAGTAAGCCAACTACAATTCCTATAATATCTGCCTGTCATCTCTTGACTTTGATTAGGAAGTGAGAGGAAGAGGAGGTCGTTGGACCCGTCGACGTCGACGAAGTCACTTAGTTGGTCGAGGGCAAAGAAGGTTTCTCCCGTAGTTTCTATATCTAGGATGGCGCTATTCTGATTCAATGCCCTGAAATGGTGGATGAGGAATTAACGGAAAGTCGATCAGAAGGCCGAGCCATATGTAGGAAGAAATGTTACTGACACGACCGAGTCACGGTTCCCGGATACAGATAGAGTCCAAGATCACGGGTTGACCATCAGGCTTAGCAAAACATGGTGGTGGCGTGCAAGGCTGAACCTCAGCCTGGTCACCATGCTCCTCGCTCCATCCGCATGCTTCCACCTTCCCGTCACCATCAACCCTTGACCCTCGCCTCCAATATCTCAATATCCTCCTTTACTCCCTGAATCTCCTGTTCAATCTCTCTATACCTTCCTCCCAACTTCCCCATGGCCCCAAGTCCGGGATCAACGGCCTCATACTCCCGCAACACCCCTTCCAACAGACTTATCCTGTCATCCAACTCACCCTCTTCCTTTTCCGCCTCGATCATTTTCTCCCGGGTCATGGCCTTCCTCCTCTCCGCTTGCGGAGAAAATTCGACTTCCTTCCTGGCCTCCAGCACCAGAACCTGCACCTTCAGCGCCATGGCCTGCGCAACGGTATCCAGAAAAGCAATTTTCGACATAGTGTAGCGAGAAAGGACGCCGTGCTTGGATGTCTCGAGGTGCTGGATCTGCAACTGCAGGAGCTGGCGCTGGAGAGTGAGGAGGTGCTGGAGAGTCGTGGTCAATGTCGTGAGCGATGTTGGAATGAGGGTGTTGCGCAGATCAGAAAGGCGGGATAGTTGGGTCTGGATACTTTCGTGCAGATTTGGAGATGCACGAAGGTGGCCTTGAGTGCTTCTAATTTTGGTTTGGACCTCGTCCCCGTCGTCGTGTTCATCTCCATCGCCATGCCCAAGTGCAATATCCGACAGCACGCAGAGCGACGACTCCAGCTCGCTGAGGCGTGAAGAGAGCGCGTCAGCAATAGGACGGATATTCGCTCTGAAGCGCTGGATATCCTCGTAGAGAAGATCTTCGTCGTCCTCGCCCTGTTTTCCTTCCCCCTTCCGCCGTGCAGAAACTTCATTCGACACGGGAGTCCCCAACCCGTCAAGCCTGACGTGCAAATACGCCGCGATGACGCGAACGAGCTCGCGCAAGCTCGAAGGGAGATAGCTGTAGTGCCTCACAGCAGAAGAAGACCGATTGGCCACGTCGTCATACTCGTCTGATGTCTTGCGTCCATTCGTCGCCGTCGGGCCCTGGGAATCGGAATCGGGATCAGGATCGGGATTCGTGTTCATGACAGGGTCCAAGACCTGGCTCGTCGCAGAGCCAGCCTTGGACGTAGTCCGAGATCCTGCCTGCGTAATGGATGGGGACGCCCGCATGGGTATACGACTGCGACTCGCCTTCTCCGCGCCATGGGACTGATAGGATTGACGAGCCGCTCTCGCCGCGCCAGCAACATCACCGCCACCTTCACCTTCGCCATGGTCTTCAGGCTCGGAGAGGTCAAGGTCCGCCAGACCATCGAGTACATCGCGGAGGATATGCCGCTTGACTTTGTCGAGCCTGACGGCGCGGAGGTGTTCTTCAAAGCGGAGGCTCGATCGCTTCTCTTTCTGCTCTTTTGTGTCCTTTGTCTCGTCGTTGTCCTCTCCATCCTCGTCGTCCTCGTCAGCTCGAACTCCATCATCTTCACCATCGTCATGGCTATACCTTCCGCCCTCCCCTCCTCCCACGTCACCACCCTTCTCCTCCCCCTTCACCTTCCCTTCTGTCCTCATTCTCATCCTCGCCCTCCGCCTCGCTCCCCACCACCGCCTTGCCCTCTCCTCCTCTCCGTTCCTCAACGAGCCATCGTCCTCCAACAGCTCGGTCGTGACGTACTCCCACAGCCTCGCGAACGAGGGGTTCGTCTCCAGGTCCGACGCCGTGAGTAATGGGATCATTGCATATGAGCCCAGGTTTTGTCTCCCGTTCGTTCTTCCCGTCAATATCGATCGCGGGGCCAGATACACACGCTCACGCACGCACGCACGCACGCACAAAAAGGGCTCTAAAAGCTTATTGTATTGACCTACCCTCACCCGTCGGATTGGACGGGACTGGACGGGACGGGATGTGATAGCGGTGGATTTTGACTCGCCAAAATGGGTTCGATCGGAGTCTCTAGAAGTGGAGCTTAGATTGGAGGAGGCAGAAATGATTGGCTGCACAACTGCTACAGGTACCAGTATGAACGGAAAGGCTTTGGTGGCATCTTACAATGTAAGTATCTGCACGTGTACGACGTACACGGGACGCAAAGGAAAGCAGATGCACAGGGCTGGATTCTTTTTCACAGTTTTTGTTCATTCATTTCATCTTCGTCTTCTCTCCAGTTCAAGCACAGCCCGCGGGCTGCGTCTATCCGTCGCTCGCTCATCCTCTCGGCAAAATAGCATACTGTCTATTACAAACGTAACTGCCAATCTCAATTTCACCCACGAGGCTAGCTGTGTGCGTTTTGACTCGACTCTTTGTAGCCGTTCTTTTTCGCCTCAGAACGTGTGCATGATCTGGTTGCTATTGTTGCGCCGCATAGCTGCACGACCAATTTCTCGTCTTCTTTCGAGTGCCATTGCTATCATGATGTGGTTTGTTCTCAATCACCCCATCAAGCTGGCTGGCGAGCTGAGTGTCCAAAAACTACTCCTCCTCGCTCTCTTCCGAGTTGTCATCGTCGCTACTATCGCCCGTCTCTATCGAAGGTACAGCATTCGGAGAAATTGGTCCCGCGTAAGCTCCCAATTTGCCCTTGAGCTCCTCAATCTGAGCTTCCTGCTCGTGCTTGCTCATAGGCTTGCTCTTCTTGCTCTTGTGATGGGCAGGCGCATGGTAGGCTTCCGTGTGTTCCACTTTCGGCTCATCTGGAGGCGGACCGGCGTACTTCTTGACGAAGCCGAGCAACTTCAGAAGTGCACTGTTGGGGACTTCCTCGATATCCAGCTCAATCTCGTTCTGATCGCTGTTCGCCAAGGATGGAACGCTCTGCTGGATGATGCGCAACGCTTCCTGCATCTGTTTCTCCGGCAGCATCGCTATGCCGTTGGAGATGTACTGCTTCTCGGCGAACGTGACGTATCGATCTTTCTCTTGTTTCTTGGGCTGCGGTTTCTTCTTTTCCTTCTTGTCTTTGCCCGGCTTGGAGACCGCGGCTTCCGGTTTCTCCTTCTTGGCTTTCGACTTGTCCTTTTTCTTCGTCGGAGGTGACTTGGATTTCTTGACCTTCTTCTGCGTCAGTTCACCCATCTGCTTCGACATCTCCTCAATCTGGGCTTGCAGCTTTTTGATCTTCTCGTTCCGCTCCTCCTCACTATCGCCCTCGCCGTCATCTTCGCTTTCCTCTTCTTCCTCTTCATCTTCGTCCACATCGGACTGTGTGACCGACGGCGGCTCCCGTGCAGCAAGCCAGTCATCTTTGCTCGCCCATTTCTTGTTGAACAAATCTTCCAACTGATGGCCGGAAGAGTTGACCAAGTCGCCTTCGGGATTGAATTTGTAGCAATTTTTGAAGATCAGACGAACATCCTCCTCAAAGTCCTTGGCCTTCTCATACGCGTTATTTTGGAGTTTGGTCTTGACCGTTGACAGGTCCATTGGTTTCTTGATAATCTGGAAATACGTCGGAATGTTCAAAGCCACGGGATCCACAGGATACATGAAGTATTGATTTGCCTGCCAGTGTTTGTTGTTCATGAGTTCTTTCAGAACTTCATCGCAGAATTTCAATTGCAACTCATACTTCTTCTTCCTGGGTCTGCCGCCTCCAAACTCCGAATTGCGCTTGGTTGGAACAATGGCTCTCTTTGGTCGGCCATCGGTCAAGCTTGAGTCACGCCGAATAAGAGGCATACCATCTGGGTTGGGTGCAAAAGCGGGAGTTGGGGGGGCGGCGGAGCTGGGGGAACTAGCTGCGCCGACATTGGTCGTGGATGTGCTCACAGACGGTCGTCGCGGAGGTGCTGTTCTCGTTGGCTCTTGCTTCTTTGTTGCTGCTTTCTTTACCTCTTTGGACGGTTCTTCGATGCTGGCTTTTGGTAGATTCCTCATCTGGCCATCAAACGATGCCTTCATCTTCCTGGCCTGCTGTGAAACACCATGGTCGGGACCGTTAAAGGTGAAGCAGTTTTTCACGATTAGCTCAAAGTCGGCCACAAATGTAGCCACCGATGTGTACTCGTTGCGCTTCAATCGCTGATCAATTGTACCCAGGTCCATGGGGTGCTTAATGACCTCAGGATACGTGGGGATATTGAGCCCGACATAATCCACGGGAAGTCTAAAAGGACCAGAGGCATTACTCTTCTTCAAATTTGAGATCACCTTCTTCATATGAGCCAAGCGCGCTGGAGTGACAGAATCATCGCCGTCTTCCGTGACCGCCGTAGACGTCTCGGGTACACCGTTGGCCGTAGCTGGTGACGACAGGGCGGGTGCAGGTACATCCGGGACTTTGAAATGTGGCTCTTCGGTCTGTGGCCGAGGTTCGTCTGTCTTGACGCGCTTGACAATATGTTCGGTCTCTTCAGTATCTTCGTCGCGCTCATGGACCTGTTTGACTGGTTGAGCCGACACATCTGCCATTACTTGATCCTCCGTTTCAGCGGGAGCAGGAACAGGTGCCGTCGGCGCGGGCTCCTCGCTGGGCTCGGCAACTGTAGGAGTTGGCTCTGTGGATCCTGGCGGTTGCTCTGCCGGTTGACCCAAGGGTTTCTGTTCAGGCAACGAAGCAGGCCCCGGCTGTGGTGCTGGAGGGGGTGATTGCGCAGGTGGGGAAGGAAGGCCAATATTTGTGGCGGCTGGAACTACGACCGGCGCAGTTGGGAATGAGGTGGCGATTTCTGGTTTGAGAGGAGCAGCTAGATCGGCGGAATTGTCGAGACCGTGTTTTTGGGCCTCGACCTTGGCGACAGCTTCAGGCGTGAGCGCGTCTGAATGAGGCGCAGTTCGAAGATCAGATACCGGTGCCTCCGGCAGAACTGCTGGAGGCTCCGAAACACCCATGGCTGACTGACTTGGCTCCAACGGCGTGGCCGAGGACTGAATTTCGGTAGGGATGGAAGAGGGGATAAAAGATTCGGTCAGGTTAGAGTCAGATACCGATGATGTTGTTATTGGGGGTGTCGCAGAAGGGTTGCCAAGCGGAGGTGGAGGTTGAGAGTCGGGAACAATGATATGTTGCTGGACACGTTCACCGTCATGGTCTGTAATCCCATTTGTGGCAGGCAGTGCTGCTGGTGCTGGTGCTTCTTCAGAAGGAGCTGGAGGCACTGCCTCAGGAGCTACCTCGGGAACTACCTCGGATACCGCCTCTGGCACTGCTTTTACTGGATCTGATTGAGGCGCATCCACGGCAGGCTGTTTGGATGGACTTGGATTCACCGTCGCTTCCGAATTTGATATCGACGCAGCCAGGTTGTCCGCGATATGAGACTCCTCGGGCTGATCTGAGGTTGAACTGAACTGTGTCGGCAGTCTGGTGAGGGTCAGATGAAACGAGTCGCGACTTCTGAGGGAGGTGAAGCCCACATACCCATGAGCCTCCATCTGCATTTCCACGTCCATGTTGCCAAGAGGAGAGGATGCGCAAATCTCAGGCTGGAGGATATCGGACCAGCCGAATAAAAACAGGTGTTTGGTGAATGGCAATTAATTAAGATGGAGATATTTTACAAGGCGCAAAGAGGCGAATGGATGACGTGAAGAAAGAGGACAAGACAAAGAGCGCGCGCAAAGAAGGTAGACGCGGGCCAAAAGTGAATCGAAATCAGAGATGGGGGACGGTCGCGATTAATAAATAGTCGACGAGATCCAGATCTAGGTCCGAGACGAGGAGCAAATGGAAGTGTATCGACTCAGCCCGGTGCGTGTGGCCAGTGGCGACACCAACTTCAACACCAGCCTTGCGAAAATCTCGACGGGTCATGTGACGGCGACCAGTGCGTCACGTGGGTCGAGCGCGGGGAGGGCTCAGGACAAGCCTCGCCTCAGCAGGTGCTTGTTTCAAATCAAAGGTCAAGAAACAGGCAACAGTCTGGACTGGGGAGCAGTGGCGACTGTGATGACGATGATGGCGACGATGGATGATTGATGATGAAATGGCGATGCGCAAGACCGTTTTTGCGCGCAATAATCGATGGGAGGGTTTTATGGGATAAAAAAGGTGAGGCGCGTGGATGGGGATTGGAGAATGTTTTTGTTTGTTTGGCGCGTCGTCAGCGGGCAGGCCAAAAGGAGGCCAAAGGAGGGAGGCCAGGCGAGGCGTGGGTTGGGTGCGTGGGAGGGCCGGGTTGAAGAGGACCAGAGGGAAAAGGACGGGACCGTGGTCTCAGAAGGAAGGCCAGCCGAGCGGCGGTATTTCAGGTTGAGGTGCAAGCGACACAACAAATTTTGCGCGGAAGCCCGTTAAATAGGATCGGGCATTCGCAGCCACCGAGGGGTGCAAGCCCAGCGCGATGTCCACCATGGAGGCCCACTGCGTCCTCTGCGCCCTCTGGCCCTGCAGCAACGCTAGGCCGTCCTGGCATGGTCATCCCTGCAAAATCGAGAGAGTGGATGCACAGTGCCTTCGTTTGTTGGGTCTGATTGGCCTCTGCCAACGCCTTCCTACCCTCTTAGCTCTGTCCAAGCAAATCGATTGCTGCCCCCCAAGTTCAAGTTTCTGATTCCGAGTCCTGTGTGCGGCCGGCCTGCCCCTCTGCTTCTGCCGCAAAGTCCTGCCCTCCTCTCCGTCGCTGGCTGCCTCCCTGTTCTCCGTCTCTTTTGCCCACTCGTGGATTGGTCTGACGCCTCGCGTACCTCGGCCACCTTTCCATCATCTGTCTCTGTCATCTCCCCCATTCCATCGCAGGGACCCCCTTTTTGTTAATTCCTTTTGTGTCTCAAAATTTTGTCGGTCTCTGGTCGATCAGCTTCACCTGCATTGATTCCCTCGACACGAACCGCCTTTTGGTTCGTTGATGCGCTTGGCAGCTTTCCTGAGCAATAACAATTCGCCTTGACACTTAGCTCGCTCCGCATACCCGGTGCCCGCTTCATCCCTGCCTCCAATTCTATCACGACGACCGAAGGTCTGGTCACGTGATCACACCCACATGACTCGTGGGTTTTGCCTGGCAAAGGGCAGGAAGTACTGGTAGTACCGTAGAGCGCGGACGGTTCTCTGTCTCCCTGAGTACTCGGCTTCACGTCAGGCAGCAAAGATTGCTGAACATCATGGTGAAGGCTGTTGTCGAGAGAAATGGTCATCTGGCCCGCGAAAAGAGTAATGGTGACTGCCCATCTTGCCCCTGAGAGTAATTTCCGCAGCTTTCCGCCTCGACCGGTCGAACCGGAGGAAGAAGGGTGTTATCCGATCCAGGCAACTTTGCGAACGAAACACTGTGCCGCCCTGCTTTCGTCATTAGGTTCACTTACTCCAGAGGTCAGACGGGAAGTGGAAAGAAAAAACTGCGCTTGGCATCGTCTTTGTAGATCTGGTCAATGATGCGCCTTCCTGTAGCGTTTATGGTTGCTGAACCAGAGATATCACAGACAGTTATTTGATGAGGAGCGAAAAATGGGCGATTGGAGGGGCCTAGAATGACAGCCACAGAACACAACTGAACATCAGGCGTCTCTCAGGCGGAGATACAGCGGGTATTTCCTCATGGCGGACGCCTGCAAGAACTGCGGGTCATGATGCAAAGGACAAGCCATTTCCATCAGCAGAACTGTGCACAGCATCGATGAGAACTTCATGCATACGGCAAATGACCGCGAAAGGGAATTTTGTTGAAAGGGATGATTTCTCTGGAGGGGTTCGCGAATGTAGAAGGGCACAGTACTGGTGGAGAAGAGTTGAAGGGCTCTCCGGTGGAGCAAAACTCCTCTGACGGCTGAAAATACGGCTATACAGATATGATCCAAACGCATCACGGCTAGTCCTGGAGCGGAAAGGCGTCGTCTGAACCAGCCGACAATTGATTCTCCGAATATTCGTTCAACTTTTTTTTTGCCGGCCTGATAAATTCTGGAAACCACCACCCAGTAGATCAAAGCGTGCGACTCCAGGCACCAACAGTTGACTACGACCGCCATGCCATTTGGAGATTTACATTCTACTTGAATACCGCATCCCCCTCCCCGTTCAACTCTCGGAGTCAGCCGTCAACATGGGTCGCAAAGACCCTCAAAATTTGGTCTCCAAAATTTCCTCCGCCTCTTCGCCTGCGGTGGGCGCCGGTGTCAATACCCAAAAATCCTCAGTATTGAGATCTGCGTTTGCTCCGTCACAACTGCAATTACATCTCTTCGCCTCAGTCATCCAGAGTTTCGACGGTCACCAATTGCGCATTCATGATACTACTACCGGACGTTTGCGCAGCCAGCACGAGACCAGAGCTGGATCAAAAATATCTTGCCTTGATTGGGGCTACTATGGTGCTGCGTACCGGGAACGACAACAATCAGCTTCAAAAAAGAAGCGCAAGCGAGACCAGGAGAATAATGATGGCGTAGTCGTCGCCTACGGAACCAATACCTCACAGATTTGCATGTTCTCGCCTGCGGAAGGCCGAATTGTAGGTACCTTGAATGGAGGCCATGAAAGAGGTGTCAAAGACTTCAAATTCTCTTGCGCGGACTATCTGCACGGCTGGAGTATCGGTGAAGAAGCAAAGCTGTTACAATGGGATCTGACCAAGGACCAACCCATAAGGTCAGTAGATACTGTGCGTTTATCCCGTCTAGTTTGGCTGTTAACAAGGGCAGGACAATCAACCTCCCAGACCCTGCTATCAGTATCCTCGCCTCGCCCTCTCAAGAGCTCCCTCAGATCCTGTGTGCCTCTTCCACGCCCTTTGCAATCGAAATCACCTCATCGGATGATTTTCGGATAGGTCGCTTCGATTCTTTCAAAAACCCGATTCACTCTTTATGTCGATCGGGTTCAGAGGTGTCAGGGGCCTCTGAATACTTCCTGGCCGCAGACCCGGAGAGATATATCAACGTCTATGACATATCCCAAAAGAAACTAGTGCGCACCTTGGTCGCAGGAAGTGGTGTCGTTTCTCTCGATCTCGCGACTCCCACAGATGAAACAGCAGAGTTCCTCCGACAACAAGTTCTCAGCGTCGTGACAAGAGAAGGGAGCGTAGAGCTATTTCCCAAGCCTTTTACAGATATTCAGCAAATTAACGGTGATTTGAAATCCAGCAGGAAGAACCTCACAAGGAAAGCCTCGGCCTCGATTCGACTGGTCAGACCGGAGTCAAAAGCTAAATATGTCCCCATATTTGCAGCATTCCTCCAAGGATCCCACGTCGTCGTCGTCTCCGCCGATGGCGGCGTGGATCTAACCTTTCAGAAAGTCAGATGGCAAGACGAAGGAAACGGGGAACTGCTATTTGACGGCGTAAAAGAGGTGGTGAAAGCGAGGAGCTCATCTACCCTCAATACAGCCACCCTCAACGGAGTTAAGGATCTGGGAAAGACACATGTGGATGAGTCGAGGACTGTCGTCGTCAATGGTGGAGCCGGAGGTGCGCCTCTAGCCAATGCTATCGAAATCTCTGACAGCGACAACGATGAGGAGGTTGACGAAGATGAAGGGGACGAATCTGCAGACGAAACAGCGAACAGGACGAAGGGCGAAGGTGCAAAAGAAGACGATGAAGAAGCTTCAGATGAGAACTCGGACGAAGAAATGGCAGACGCTGAAAAAGCTGAAGACGCCGCCGCCATGGGCGAAGCAGCGGCCGACTTTGAAGGAGAAAGAGGAGAACCTTCATTCGGCGAACTCCTAGCATCCAAGCACCCCCACGAGATATCCATCGCATCAGCCCTCCCTCAACGCGACATCTCCACCCTTACACTCAAACCCAACCAGACAACAATCCCGTCCGGCATGTCTCTCTCCACGGTGCTCACCCAAGCACTCCGCACGAATGACACCACTCTTCTCGAAGCTTGCCTACATACTTTTGACATGGCCATTGTCAAATCTACTATCCAACGTCTTGACTCCACCCTCGCTGGCCTTCTCCTATCAAAACTCGCCGAACGCCTTGCGTCTCGCCCGGGGCGGTACGGACATCTCATAACATGGGTACAGTGGACGTGTATCTGTCACGGCGGAGCAATTGCAAGCCAGCCGGGTGTTGCAAGAAAAGTAAGGACGTTGTATGAGGTGTTGAACGCGAGAATGAGGACGTTGGATGATTTGTTACTGCTGAAGGGAAAGTTGGATATGTTGGATGCACAGTTAGATTATCGAAAACAGCTGCTCGCTCAGAGACCACAGGGCAGCAGGAAAGGAAGGGATGAACCCGGGATCATCTACATTGAAGGGCAGGATAATTGGGATAGCGACGATGAAGATTTGGATGAGGAAATCGCCAGGCCTAGCAAGAAGCCGAGGACGAAGCAACAGAGGGATCTGGGTGAGCTCATCGGCAACGACGAAGAAGACGAGGATGATGAAGATCTCATGCCTCTCCCAAACGGCGCTGATGATGTGTCGTCCGACAATGACGAGGATGAGGATGATGAACCAACGCTTAACGGCATAGGGAAAGCTCATGCGCGGGGCCTCGTTGATGATGAAGCCGAAGTCTCCATCGCCGAAGAATCAGACCCGGATGATGGAGGTCCCTCTCCAGCAGGTTCAGATACTTCATCCGTCGCATCTTCCGACAATGAAGATGCCAGTAGCAGCTTGGGCGAAGAGAGCGATGACGGCGAAGAAGAGGAGGACGACTCGGAAATGGACAGCTTCATCAACGACGGGTCCGTAGACTTTGAAGAGGAAGTTGGTGACGAGGTGCGTGTACCTGGTGACTCTAGTGACGACGACGAGGAGCCCGGAAACGAAGATCAAGATGAGGAGCCCGGAAACGAAGATCAAGATGAGGAGCCTGAGACTGAACCTGCGCCGAAAAAAACTCCCGTCGCCAAAAAGAGGAAAGGAAAGGATAAAGACAAAGATCGGGTGAAGGCTAGGGGAAGACTCCCGCTCGTTAAGGACGAGGACCAAGACGATGAGTCCGACGACGACGATATGCACATCGATTAGGATACGCTCAGGTCGAAGTCCAAATCGAGAAGAAAACCTAGCCGCAGTTGGTCTGATCGGATTGGCCTGATCGAATGGTCGCGTCGCCATTGCGGTTGCCATCGCCATCGCCATCACATCCTCTCTCCACAAATCTATCTATGCGAACACCAATTCCCATCCATTTCCATGCCTAGAAGCAACCATCTGACCGATTCATGGGGAAGCCGGGGGGCTGTGAAAGAACCCCCCCCCCCCCCCCCCAAAAAAGAGGAAGGGAACTGGGGCCCTTCGCAAAGTCATGAACACAATGCAATGCTATTCAATGGGGTCACTGGAGTGGAATTGGATCATCATCGTCGTCAAAACGAACAAAAGCATCGGCGCTGCACGGCGAGCTTCAGCACAGCGAGGACCTGGATACCAGCGAGCATAACATGAGCATTGAACAGTGAGCATTGAGCATATTTTCTTTTCTTTTTAGATGGCATCCGTCAAAAGTCAGGTATGAATGAATGAGCATGGATTGTTCTCGTGAGGGCTATAAAGCGCTACAATGAAGATACCCGTTCCACCCTCCTGCTCCCTCCCCCAATTGGACCCTGTTTGATGGTATTACTAGGTAGGGAATGGATCGCCGCCCGTGAAAAGGCTAAGGATAATCTGCTTCTCCATCCCTGCTCTCCACTGTTGCCCGTCTTAACAAGTGTCCCAGCTTCGGACCCCAAGAACTACCGAATAGCATCCTCTCCAAATCCAATCTCATCCACACCGAGGCTTTCACACCATCCCTCCAGCACTCGACTCCCGCCCAGGACACCCTGCCGGCGGCCCAACCCACGCACTTTCCTTCCTTTACTTCTTCCCGCCCAGATCTCAAAGAACTTGACCGTTTGATCACAGCATGCGATAATGAGACTTCCTTCCTCTTCTGTCCGGCTCGCTGGTAGCTCACCACGTCGAGCATTTCCACCATAATCGTCCCCTAATCGTCTCTCACCGGTCTGTACCGGCCGTCTTCTGGGTATCACAGGTACAGCGATTCGCTCAGGGCTAGGTGCGAGGCCGCGACGGTTTCGAGGACCAGCCGTCTCCATTGCCATCGTTGCAGTTCTTCTTCGTTCCGCTTCCGTTTCTTGAACCGCTTCCCATGAGGCAAATCCCCTGTTAACCCTCCCATTCTGTGTTCGAGGTGGGATAGGGTCATTGGGTCCGCCTGGGTAAGGTATCGCCCACAGCGCTCGACCGATCTCGCCGTTCTGCTTCCTTTCCCAGGGAATGCTAACCACACATTCACAGGTTGGCCAGCTGAAAACGGCTATTCTGATTTCATGCTCAGGTTGCGAGTACCCAAACGTCGCAACGATCTCGCGTCTTGTTGTGCTCTACACCAGGCTCGTGACTTGCGAGAAGACATTGATCAAGGCTAAAGCCGCTCCTGATCCTGTGTGCCAAAAGTGTATCTGGCGATCATTACTTCCACCCCCAGTCGCAAGCAGATTCGGCTGCCACGGAGCAAATGCAATGGCCTTAACAGCTGCGGTGTGATAGAAAGGATGAACATGGGCATTAGCTTGTCCGGGGATGCTAGGATCCACGAGTGCATTGCGAAGGATCGACGCATTGGGATAACCAGGCGTCTGAAAGGAGGTTGTGGAAGGAGAACGACCGCCTGCCCTCCCCCGGCCCGGAGGAGTCAGAGGTGGTGTGTCCATGCCAAAATTCTGCATGTTGTTGGCTGATCCTGTGTTGAAGTTCGAGAATTCTCGGTGGCTTGTCGATCGGTATCTCTCTGGCGAAACCGGGGGCGTGGGAAGGCCAAGATCATTGAATATAGCTAACGCTTGGTCCAGGACATTCTGGGAAACATGTCTCTGATAATCTGCATGGAGAAAGTCTGATGGGTCGAAAAGGAGAGCCCGGTTATCATTGCCACCAGAGACAAACTGCATGCCATCCAGAGACCACGCGAGACCACAAATGTTCTGGGTGTGGGCGTCGAGTTTGGCCAGTAGTGTCATGGACCCGGGAGCAAACTCTGGCCACTCTAGCGAATAATAGTAGATCATGCCAGAGTCGTCTCCGACAAGCAAATCTTCGCACATGACCATGTCATTCCCCGTGACAGATCGTCTCTGCGTCTCGACAGGTTTGAATGACACGCAGGATGCTGCACAAGGGTGAGGAGCATCGAAACGAGGTCTTATCTCCAGCAAACTCCATAATGTGACTGTTCCGCTGTTCTTGGCGACGGCTAAGATCGCCTTGCCTCCCTTCTCAGACGAGAAAGCTAAAGAAGTCACAAAATTCGTTGGTCGGCTTGGGGGCAACGGAGGAGAACGCACACCATACTGTTCCGTCCAGAGATAGACTTTTTGACCTAGGGCGACAGCTAACGAGTGACAAGTCCGACTGTAGGCGAGTATAGAGCAATAATAGTCGTCTTTGAGATTAGGGGCGTCAAGAACCCGGAAAGGGACGGTTGGAATTGCTTTGTCGCTTTCGAGTAACCCGCCAGATTTGAACGCGATATCTGCTCCAAGGTCAGGAAGCGAATGAGAAACAGAAAGAGACACATACGCCAAGATTCCGCATCTCGGGCCCACACGCTGTTTTTCCATACAAACGGACTGTGTTCGGGTTTCGCGTTGACATCCTTCTCTTCCACAGTGGGATTCTGTAGCAGGATCCGAGCTGCTTGATCGATGTCGAGAGCTAGCGCTAGGCGGCGTTCATGAGCCACAGCCTTGTCGTCGCGAGTGGCATGATCCAGAAATGTAGCGGTATGCAATGGAGCAGTGCTGTGGCTGCCTAGCATCCCACCTGAACCAGATGGTATCCTCTGCAACTGCCACTGTTGAACGGGCAACCTGCCTCCCACGGTCCAAAATCCTGAGCTGATCTGGCGGAGAGACGTTGTTGCTATGCTTCCATCAATGTGGGCGGGGGCGGCATCTCTTCCGTGGACAAAGGAGGGAACATATTGTGGAGGACGCAGGCTATAGACATTTGGAGCGTTTCTTTGCCTAGTTAATGCCCGGGCGCGTGTGTCACTCACAGAACGGAATGGATTCACAGTATTATCTCGTCGTCGCTCGTTTCTCTCTCGGCCTCGGAGTAACACGGGAGGTTTGCTGGTCTGGTAAGAACGTCTCTTATCCACGTGAAGTGGTCTTTGAGGGATGAACCGATCGGGCGAGGTGAACTGAGACCGAATGCGGACAGGGCTACCAACGCTGTGGCTTCGTCTTTGCTAGGGACGGGACCTGGTTCGCGGCAGGATCTGGGCAGGATGGTCCTCAGAGAACAATCTCGACGTAGATTGGTGTTGGGGAAGGTGGGAGAGTAATGGGCGTCTTCTTATTGAAGAGTCATGCTCTTGTAGTTCAGGAACCTCGGAAGGGATACTCACGTCTTCGTCCGTAAATGAGGAGCAAGGACTCGTTGACAGTTCTGAACTGGACATGTCTGTGATGGAGGCGATGCTGTCCATGAGGAGAGAGGCCCGGTTGACAGGAGCAGAAATCCAGCGAGGATTGACCCAAGACAAGAATGGTTTGAAGAAGCAGCCCGGGCCTCTTTTCTCAAGGAGCTCGAGGTAGATCTCCGTGCATCGTGTGGTGGAGAGAACCTCCTCACTTCCCGTCACCCGCAAGCAACAGCGAGAGCGTCAACTCGATCAAAGTGTAATGTAAGAGATGCGCCCACTACCTGTATCTATGTTAGTGAGAAGCCATCACTTGTCGGTAACTGTGTTGGTTGGTATGGATGCTGGGTGGTTGAGGGAAGAAATAATAGGTCGTTAAGTTTGGGGCCTGGAATTTGGGTCCGACTCAGCAAGGCGTTTGTTGGTTTCTGACCTCCATCGTTCTTTCACCTCACCACATCCACATTCGCTCCTCCTTCCGCATCGCATATTTAAGAGAGACGACGCTCTGCCTTTGATCTCCTTCGCAATCATGGCCAGTGTAAGACGCAGAACTACGTGGGTGCCATAGCTCCCAGTTGACTTGGTGATAGCATGGTGTGCCTCGCACAGCCACCCGTGAGGAACAGACGGCAGAAGCACGGCAAAAGGAGCTGAAAGAAATCTCTCAATATCAACAGCTGGTGGAAGAAGTCAATGCCAAGGTCTCTCAGCCAGCCTCGGACAGTTCAAGCCGACGATGCTGATGTCGATTGTGAGCAGGTCGCTGCAAAGGAATTCACCCCTGGATTACTCCAACAAACAGCCCAACTACTGAAGAGGAATCCCGAGTACTACACCATTTGGAATCATCGTCGCCGCATCTATGTCAGCGAATTTGAGGATCTTGGAAAACAGACAGCCGCCGGTGAAATGGACGAAGAGACGCGAGTCAGCCAGGTACTGGATATCATTCAGCTGGACTTGCAATTTTTGTTTCCTCTTCTTCTGAAATTCCCCAAATGTTATTGGATATGGAACCACAGGCTCTGGCTCCTCGAACAGTCTACAGCTCTTCTTCCCGCTTCAACAGCTCGAAAGATATGGGAAGAGGAGCTCGTATTGGCGGGCAAGATGCTCAGTCGAGACAGTCGAAACTTCCACGGTTGGGGCTATCGACGAACCGTGGTGCAGTGTCTCGAGAGCCCGGCTTTACAGGGACACAGTATGGCACGACAGGAATTGGAGTATACGAAGAAGATGATTGGAACCAATCTCTCAAACTTTTCAGCCTGGCACAACCGGACAAAGCTCATCCTTAGGATTTTAGACGAGGAAAAGGCCACTGATGATGAACGACAAAAGATGCTGGACGAAGGTACGTGGCTCGTGTCGCGAGGATGTCGAGAGATGCTGATCGGCGCAGAGCTTGAATTGATCCATAAAGCACTGTTCGACCCCTACGACCAGTCCCTCTGGTTCTATCACCAAAACCTGATGTGCACATTTGATCTCGACCAAGCGGCGAAGAGCATGGCACCAAACCTGTCCAATGAGCAGCGTTTGAAATACATCGCATCGGAACAGGACTACATTGAGGAAGTTCTGGAGGATGCCCAAGATTGCAAATGGCCGTACCAGGCATTGATCGAGTGTACACTGCTGGAAAGCAAACTGAAAACGGGGCTAGACGAGGAGGACCGGCACAAAGTAACCCAGTGGCTACAGAAGCTCCAAAGCCTCGATCCTCTAAGGAACGGCCGGTGGTTGGATATGGAGCAACAGCTGGGCAAGCAATAATGGCGGCTGCCATCGACTAGGCATGTAATATGAAATGAAAGCAGCAGAGAGTGCTGTACAAGGATTGAATAATACGTGTCGCCCTTTTGACAGATGAAACACGCCCCCATTGGAAAGGGAGCCGCAAGGACTTTTGCGGGCTGCGGACCCCCTCTCTCCCATTTGCGGTCCAGTCAAACAACGGCGTAATGGGGCTAGATAAAAAGGGGCAAAGGCATTGGCAATGGGAGCCGATGGGGCTGGTGCTTAATGCTAAACACGCCTTGTGCCCCTGGACCTGACAATGGGCGCCCGGCGGGCTCAAGCAGGCGAGAGGGTATGGGAGACGCGCACGACAGGATCGTAATGTGGTACAATTGCAGACGACAGAAAAAAAGAGAGAGAGAGAAAAAAAAAGGACAGTTTTTCCCTTCACCAAGATCCTCATCTGAAGTCACCCTGATTTCCTCATGGACAGCACATTTGTGCTTGAATCCTAATTGTCAAGTGTCTGGGGCATTGGTCCCTCTTTCCGTTAACTGTTTACAAACCTGAAAAAGTTGCTTGCCTCCGCGTCATCTAAGAAAAAGTTGTCATACGGTCTTTTCAACTCACCCGACTGCCTCCATTGGGTTTCGCAGGCATCGAGGCAGAAGAACTCGACTTGCAGACTCCTTGTCCGTCCTCACCATCTGTCGATATCACCGAGCACCCCCAAACTCTACTCTCCTCCGGGTTGCTGACTGGCGGCGGTGATATCTGACCCTCGTTTGAAACTCCACACCTGACCTGTCGACGCTCCCTCATCGCCTACAACCCCCAACGCGCTCCCTAGCTCAACGGATAGTCGATACTTCCACTGTCTCTTCCGAGCTATACGCCACGAGTACTACTACCTAGTTATCGGTCGCAGTGCGGTAGAGGATGATATGAGCATGCCTGTCGGCTGTTGAAGCAAATCACCATGGCGAACAGTGCAGACAATCAGGACACTGACGAGGTAAGGCGACTGACCCCCACCCCTCGGCGTTGAGATGGAGCATCTCTTCTGACCAAACTTAGAGATTTGAGGATGCCACCGATGTCAAAGATGAATCGCAACGGGATTCCTCCCACTCGGATCAGCCTCTGCAAGATCCTAGGAACTCCAATGATCCTCAACCGACGTCGAACCACGATGAACAATCTAAGGGCGGGCAAAGAGAAAGCAGCGGAAGCTCAGGATCCAAGATACCAGATATAACCACCGATACAAGCGCTGTGGATGACTCCCACGACGCCCAGCAGACACCTACGTTGAAACCTCCCGAATCCTCTACTGAGACTTCCGGCGATCCTTCTGAAAAACCCCTCCCTCCCAAGCCTGCTACTCGCCCTTCAAGATTCCAAGGCTTCTCCGCTTCCCTCCCATCGGTGCCCTGGGGACCGCCTCCTCCCAGAAAAGCCTCAGACGCTCGAGCGCCGTCTCCGCAACCTCCGCAACCTCAGTCGACGTCCTCCTTTAGCCGCAAGGTCACCACTCCTTTCGGCTGGCTGAGCCGAGCAACAACGGCTCCAAAAGAAACTCGTTCTCCCCCTTTACCGTCGAGATCACAACTTGACACGCGGCGGAATACGGCAGCATCAGCATCCACTCTCGGCAGCAACGCTGATTTGACGCTAAAGGCGCTAGAAGAGACTCAAGATGGATCAAGCGGCCAGAAACCTTCTAGAGCGTCTCTCCGTGAACAATTCAAAATGCTCCGGCTGCGGGAAGAAGCAGGCATAACAAACCTAGAAAGTGCGGAACCATCTGAAGGAGGTGCGATAGCAGGGCTCATCGGACGGTCGGCCAGCTTAGGTGTTGGAATTGCCACTCCAGGGAGCGTTGGCCAGGACGAGAATGTTGTCTCTACTCCTGTCATGTCTCCATCCTCGCCCATGGTTGAATCACTACCCACCAATCCAAACCTGGCCCCCGGGACTGTGGCAGGCGTGGCAGCAGCACCAGCAGATACAACTACCCCCATTGATTGGGACTTCTGGCAAAACGTCGTCAACGAAGGTCCGCAGGCTGTTGCTCGGACAAGTCCTGATGAGTTCACCCAGGCCATCAGTGGTGGAATCCCACAGACCATCAGACCGGTGATATGGCAAGTGCTGGCAGGCAGCAAGAATGAGGATCTGGAAGCCGTCTATTGGGACCTCAAGTCCCGAGGGCCACATTCAGAGGCGAAGGAGGGCATGCCCAAATCTCCTTTACTCAACGGAAATGTCAACGGCAGCGCCAAGGAGAAAGAATCAGTGGCATCGTCGAGATCATCGATAAGATCTGATCATTCAACGCCTGCCACCAGCTCCAATATAGGCGTCGCATCCCCCTCGTCTTCCCATGAGGCAACAGACCCTGTGAGCACTGCCCGTCTTCAGACCCAACTGGCAGCAGAAAAAGCGAAAAAGGCCAAGGAGGATTCTGCAGCAGTAGCAAAGCTGGAAAAGATGATTAAACGAGACATGGGCTCAAGGACAAGTTACTCAAAGTATGCGGCAGCAGCAGGTCTACAAGATGGATTATTCCACGTGTGCCGTGCATATGCCCTCTTCGACGATGCCGTCGGATACCCGCAGGGCCTGAACTTTATCATCATGCCTCT